TTTTTTTTTCATTACAGTGAACTGACTGAAATGCGTTGCGCTGCGGATCGCAGTCATACTATCTGTATCCTATCGGTACCGGCAACAATGACTTGCCACGATCTTTTAACTTTCACAGCGGCTTGTCATCAAGACATACAATACTTTAGAATCCTCAAAGACGGCAGTCCAAACCAGTATATGGCTCTAATCACCTTCAGATCGTCGGTGAGCGCGAACAAATGTTTGAGCACGAGATATCGTGTACTTTCACGCTTTTGTAAAGTTGGAAAAGTTGGAAAAGTTGGCCACATTTATATACGCATATATGTATATTAAGTTGGGGTTCAAAGCAAACATTTTATGTATATAATCAAGTATACATCGATTAAACATTTAAAGAGGGTTGTAAATACACAAGTTTAGGGTATAATAGAATAAACGTGCCAAGTTTTGTACAAAGACGTAACCAACTAAAAACATGTTAGCGCGAAAGTAAAAGTAAGCTTTTATGGCATTTTATAGAGTGCAGCGAGCGAATTTTACGAAACTTTCAACGGTGCTCCCTATAACTCTTTGGAACCAGATGTGGTTTGTCACATGGTGTTTGTATCTCGAGTCGAAATAGGGGACAATGGAATGCCTCTGAACGGGCACACAGAGTTGCCATCGTGTCCGGTCTGTCTCGAAAGAATGGACGAGAGTGTCGATGGAATTCTGACAATATTGTGCAACCATACTTTCCACTCCAGCTGCCTCGTCAAATGGGGTGACACATCCTGTCCGATCTGTCGATACGCCCAAACGCCAGAGCCACTGGCGGATAGTCGTTGCATGAAATGTGGCAAGTGTTGGTCTAATTGCTCCGACTTATTATACTAAACTTGAGAGAATCCAATTTAATATTTAACATACACTTGTAGAAAAGGAAAGGAGAATTTGTAGAAAATCACTTGAAATTGTTCGATTAAATTCCGCATTGTACACGTGCATTGTATATTGGCATATTTCTCGGTCTTTCCGAGAAAGGAGATGGATGGCAAAACATATTCTATCGTACTCTGAGGCCTCTTTTAATATGTTTTTGTGTGGATCTCTTCAGTTGCGGATACCGGCACGGACGCACTGTGGATTTGCTTGATCTGCGGTCACGTAGGCTGCTCACGTTATCATCAGGGTCATGCATTTGAACACTACCGAGACACGCACCATTGCTACGCGATGCAATTGGGCAACAATCGCGTCTGGGATTACGTAGGCGACAATTTTGTGCATCGGCTACTGCAGGATAAAGATGGTAAAATGGTGGAAGGTGGTCGCTCGGCAACCAAGAGCGAGGGTGCCGCTGTGGAGGATAAGGTAGATTCGGTGCAGTTAGAGTTCACGTATTTGTTAACATCACAGTTGGAAACGCAACGACAATACTATGAAGAGAGGCTCAATCGTACGGAGCAACGCTCCATAGCAGAAATTACCGAGTTGAGAGATAAATTGGACCAAGTGCTCGAGGAAAACTCACAATTTAAGGTACGTTATTCTTAAAGGTATAATTCTTAAAAATAGTAATAAAATGAACATTACCTCGTCTTTTCTTTTCCGAATTTCCTTTCGCTTTCTCCCTCTTCCTGTTCTACTCTTTTCAAATGTACTACTCTTAATTACATCATAAAGAAAAAAAAATACATATATGTATATATATACTTCTTACTTTATCAGAAACAATTCGCGACGCTCAATCGTGACAAGCAGACGCTTGATAAGCGTCTGCAGCATTGCACCAACAAATTGGCACAAATACAAACAGAATTGTCGGAGGAAAAGGATTTGCGAAAGGCCCTACAATTGAACCAGACTTCATGGCAGGCGAAATACAAGAAATTGCAAGATGACGTGGCCACCAAAGAAGCAGAGATCACCAATTTGAAGGAGCAAAACCGGGATCTCATGTTTTTCCTTGATGCTCAAAAACAAATCGATGAGTCCGCCGATCGAAATGAGATTGCCGCCGGACGTATCGTTATTCCTCCAAGCCCTAAAGATGGGAAATCGTCAGGATCTCGAGTATATAAAAGTCAAAAGAGGCATTAACTCTCATCAAACATCATTGAACATGAAATTATTAACACTTTTACGTTAAATTCTCCAATCTGTTTAGACTCGAATCTTTTTCAACTACGTTTGAGATGTCTTCGTCACGGATATGCAAAACGCAATATTCTGAATATCGATTACAAGAACGCGTATGATGAAGAAAAAAACGTTATATATAAAAGAGATGATATTGAAGTTAATTTTTACAGTTTTATGTGAAGGAAGAATAATCTATTATTTCGCTACAACGATTTTACTAAATTGTTGTTTACCTTTTTATTTCATTTGCTGACATTAATGTACGTTTAATATTGAAACTTGTGTAATTTTTTACTATATTGGTATACACGTATCTCTATTAACAATGTCTTTTATAACGATGTCAGAAGTGAAAAGTTGCATAAATTTTCTTCTTGCGTTATATCTAAAAAAAAGTTGGTTTTTTTTCATAAATCTCATATATTTTCATCCCGCTTGAATCCTGGATTATCATATTGAAATTGATGACGATTTGATTGTCCTGGTTGAAAAGGGTCCTGATTCGAGGAGGATCTCAAATTATCAGCGTCATCGTAAATGTCATATGATTTCTGAGTCTGTGTCCTTCTTTTTTCTGCTAAAATTGTTGATCGCCTCCGCTCAAAGGCGTTAAACGCACTTTTCGGCATTTGCGAGGACATGCGTTGTGATAAACCTGCAAACGAGACGAGAGATACTCGAAAAAAGTATTAAATAAAAAGTACCAACACAAGTGTGATACGTAATGCCATTGGCACTGACTTGTAAAAGTGTGAGTGTGGGTGGGTATGTGTGTGTGTATGGGTAGGTGCGTGCGTGCGTGTTTGCGTGTTTACATGTATAACATTGTTACTCCCAACACTGGTGTCAAAATGTTAAATAATATGAAATATAGAACGTTTACTCTCTATCTAACTGTTGTTTGAAAAAACGATTAATTTAATGCACGTCTCGGGGTATTGCACGTAATTCTATAAATATATCCGAAAACTATATATTCTCGTATTGTGTTGCATTAAATAACACGTGCGTTTTCATCAACTTTTTATCAACCCCGGTCGTAATAATGTGTAAACGTCTTGTTTAATGGCAAGTGTAAATCGTTTTGCTTGAAATAATTCATTTACGTTTTATGGGTGCTTTAATGTAGTTTATGTTTACGCAAACTACACGTGCATTACGTGTGTCAGTGCTGATACCCAAATGCAGCATCTTTGTCCGTGCGTAAAAGATGTAATATATAAACGCGTGCGCGCGTAAAACTACAAGCTTAATTAACAGCACGTAGTACATGTTAACGTTAAAAAAAAGATAAAACATAAATTAAATATTTGATAATAATAAAACCAACGTCAATTATTAGCTGTAATAATAAATAAATTTTATACCGTGTTTTTATTTTTATTCCCTTGTCGAAGGGGAGCAAAGAAGATTAAAAGTTGAAACGCAATGTACAAAAAGAAACGAAACAACATATCACACACGTTCATCATGCTATCTCGTGTATCCAATATTCAAATTTTTCATACTTTGTTTTCCGAAATTTTGTTCGTCCCTTTTGTCACGTGTGGTTACCTTAGCTACGTACTATTTATTTTAACACTAGAAATGTTTTTATTACACTACCTCTTCCATAAAAGCAAGCGTAAGCAAAAACCGATAATTCCATTTGGAATTATATGACATTGTTTTATATAGAAGCTGTTTGAAAGCACCAAATCGAAACAATGTCGCTACGTCGTTTAGTTGCTTATCCACGATACTCAATATACGCGATTGAATTTCCGTATCCATATTTTCTCTTTCTTCCTGTTTTTCTCTCGTGATATATATGTATGTATGTACAATTTAGAAGATGAGTGCGTTCTGAATTTAAAATCTCCAGGATTCTCCCATAATTTGAATAGTATTCTCACTGATCTATTGATACACAAAGTTTATGAAAATTTTAAACACGTTAAGAACACGTATACCTGAACTTGGATCATGAAGCTTTCGTCGAAATAGTTTTTCAAAGTTTCCCAATATCTTCAACGATCCCTTCGAATTTTTCGTTGATTTGTGCACACTTTGTTTGCTAGGACAAGTCACGGTACTTCGTCTAAGTTCGAATATCACGTCGTCCTCCGCCATGCGTTGAAGTGTCTGCGCTATTTTATCAGCGTGCTTTTCGAAAACGCCATCTTCCGAAGAAGTTACCTGAAGAAATGAGGCGAGAGAAATATACATATATGAATTACTACGTATAGAAAGAAAAATTAATTTTCTGTAAACTTCTTTATCTTATCTTTCTCTTAAAGTAAACTTGTGTTTTGTATTTTCAACAAATCTTCAATAAATTTACTTTCATAGGAGGAAAATCATAGAGATTGTATAATTTATCTTTCACCGTATGTACTTGCGTGTGAAAAAGATAAGAAAAGCGTGTTGTACCTAATATTATGGTGTTTAATGTGTTTTTTTTTCTTTGAATATTACCTTAGTACAAGGAAGTTTTGTATTGGCGAGTACATGGGAAAATGTGACGAATCGATGAACTAGCATAGCGCAGAACTGGACACCTAATATACTGATGAACGCGGCAATAAATAGGCATCCTATCGGCTCGAGTCTTAAATATTCTTTCGTTAAATGTACCTAATATAAGAAATTGAAATGTAATTTAAAATTTTTTACCCTTGCACAATTTTAACAAATTTTAATACTTGAGCGTTAACGTATTAAATTGAAACAATAAGCCTTTCAAAGTATAAGCAAGTTGACGCGTGTTTGACGTGTAACGTTATTAAATATAACAACTATGTAAAGTTATTGTTAATGAAACGCATAATAGGATTGTTCTCACTGTTACTATATTACGTTCGTATTATTATCATTATTATATTGTTATTGAGATATTTACCTCAAATCTTTCCGAATTGAATGTAACATTGTACTTCATTCCAAGTGGCCATTGCAAATGTAGGGTATCTTTGTTTAACTGCATAAGGAACACGATTAGTACAAACAAAGCATTTAACATGAAGAATTTCGATAAATACGCATCACGAGAGTTCATCAGTTCCTGAGTTATTTTGTTCTAAAAGAAATATAATTATATAAAAATTAAGGAGAGAATAAAATAAATATCTCGGAAAATTATCATTTCAATATTATCTCAGAATATGACATTAAATGCTGGATGGTTGTTCTTCAATGTTCGACAACGTAAAACAAAAGATTGCACATGTTTGATTCTTTTCTGTAACGTGTGTGAATATACCTACATATTGTAGTCTTGCAGTTCTATTCTTGTTATTTCTATCTATTATTATTATTTATTATTTATTATTTTTATTTTTATATTTTTTTTATTATTTTCTATTATTATTATTTCTATCTATTATTTCACTCAAGCTGTATGCGACGTTCTATAATACCAACTACTTTTACTTTGTCTATTTCTCTGTCTTTTTTTGCAAGTTAAAGATATATTCGACTCACTTGACTCTCTTCATCGCTTTCAATGGGTCGCAAGTATTTTCCAATCAGATCTTTCCAAAATTCTTCTTCATCGTTCGATAGAAAATCCACCACACCTCTTCGCAGTCTTTCGTCCTGAAGCCAGTAAGGGCTAATGAGGAAACTGGACTGATCCTGACTCGAGGTTGCTGACACCTGCGTCAGAACGTCACTTTCGTCATCATCGGCATCCTTGTAGATCACATTTTCTCCATCACTTTTATCGGTTATGTGTTGTAACTCGATTCCTTCATGCATTTCCTCTTCTATTGTTTCCTCCATCGGGAAATATGGTCTTGGGTACATATTAGCATTAGAAGATGATGTGGCAACGTTGTTAGTTTCCATGTTTATTGTATGTAATCTATAATATTATCAATAATTATATCTGTGTTGTAGAATAGAAACGCACCTTGGGAGTAAGATAAGACACATAATTTAATCTGTATAATTCGAATCTCTCGTAGTACGAGTCCGATAAATAAAAGCACGTAAAGCCAAGTGTGTAACAATGATTTTCGTCAACTACAAGTTTCGTAATAACTGTAAATATCAAGTCCACATCGAACCTGTCTAGTAAGTTGAGACGTTTGTTCATCTGTTGTAGAGACTCGTTGATTTCATTCAATCGCTTCTCTTCATAACTAACTCCTGAATTAATACAGCAAACACATTTGAGAAGATTCCCCAAGGAAAACTCCAATGTACCTTTTTCATTTTTGTCTTGCTTATTTCTCTTTCCTATCACGAACCCGGATAGATTGCTGATTGCTGCGGATCTCTGCTCATCTTGAAGAGTCTTTTTACGTTGTACGTTAAACATGATTATTTTTCAAATTATTTCAATTACATTCTGCACGTGCGCGCACGTGCAACAAGTGGCAAAACATGTTTTAAGGAACTACGCTTTCACGTATTTTCCACAGTGTATTATTTACAATTTGTACAATCTGCTCTGAATTAAATTAAAATTAGAGAATAGCAAACTTACGACATTCGGTTTCTTGGAATCACGCGTGCCCCATGTAACGTTATGCACGTTGAAGACGGAGAAGATAATTAACAACATGTACATAGACGGCACAGTGATGTAGTAAATAACACCGCACAGTAAACAAGTCGCTTCCTGAGGGTGTAACAGACCAGCTACTGTCATTTGGCACGCGACAATGAAAAAGAGAAGACTACTGGGTGCAAGCCATCCATCTTCGGCGATTTGCAACATAATTCCTACTAGGACGACTATCATCACTAGGCCATATATAGCGCTGATAATCTCGGCTACTATCAACTGTAAACCCACGCTACGAATGTACTATCGATAGATGATGTTGTATATAAATGTATAATGTATACATGTTCATATGCAATATATAATCGTCGATTAATCTAGCACAGTCGTAGAAAGTATCCTATAGTCATTAAATCTAATGGTTTCAGCTGTATTTTCTTGCTCTCTCTCTCTCTCTCTCCTTCTCTATTTGAAATAAAATTCATCTAATACAGCGAGCTCAATTTGCAAAGCCATTTATATATTCTTGTTTTGATTAATTTTTTATAATCCACATTTACTGACTAAATAAATTTTTCTTTTTCAAATATCCTCAAAATCTTTATGAGATACCAGCATTCGAGTTTCATACCTGCATGCGCTCCTTACAGACGAAGCAAACTCCGACAAACACGCCAATTGGGATTAGATTGTACCAGAAACTGGTCCAATTGTCGATATGAAACGCGGCGACAAACGCGCCAACCAGCATCAAAAATATTGTACCTGGTCCCAGGATTGTACTCCCTTTAATAAATAATAATTGATTTAATAGATTACTAAAATGTTATCTACTAGGATATATGTTACATACCCATTAGAATCCATTGATAAGCAATGTACAGCCACGAGATATCGTTATTCACCTTCCTCGTCTCTTTAGAAGTCATCAACAAGTCGAAAATATTTGCGACAGTGGAGGGAATCCAACGGCGTCGCTGAATGTAGAAATCTCTAAAGACTTCTGGTGCATGTGTATACGCATCACTCGCTGCCGAATATTCGACCTGGTAGAAACGAATAGTTGAATATTTTTGTACCTACATAACACTAGTGAGAAAATATATCCTTCAACAAGATTAATTTTTCAAAAGAATGACCACAGACATGCATGGTGAAATATATATTATTGTAGAACCAAAATATTCAAATCTGGTTGCTGACGTACAAAATACACGTGTTTAACGTCAACCAAGTTCCGAATGCTAGTGCACGTTAAAATTTTTATTTTGTTTTTTTCAATCTGTATCTTTCATGCCTGGATTTGCCTGGTTTTAAAGAGAGCAGGAAAAAGGAGAGAATTTTGTAAATATATATATACCTCTATATATATATATATGTCGTATTAAAAACCAATATATATATATATATAAGCATTAATTTAAATACTAACGTGTTTATTCTTCAGAAATAGATCTGAATAATACATGTGTATAATAAATAGATGAAATTTTATCAATCGTCAGGAAAATAATCAGTCAGATATCGTTTCGAGATTAGAGTTTGAGATGCGACAATGATTATCCTCGCGCGACGAAAATTTCGTCACGTGACCGCGGTCCAAAAATTGAACGTTCTGCTCTATATACGCGCATCTAATACACATATCCAATACAACTTGTTACTTGATGATTAAGCTTGAAAATTAAGCTATATTAACGTTAAATATTTCTCACTACTTGAGCAAATTGACATTTCGAAAACATTTATATATGGCTTTGGTTGGAATTTAAATCTATGAGAAAGATGTCTGTACTTTTAATATATTGCTTACTAAATAGGTAATATATTATATGGATATATCATGGTATTTTAAACCGCACATGACTTACCCGTGAACCTACTTGGAGAAGCAATGTACAGAGCCATCGATCCTCACCTTGGTCATACTGAATGTAATGCCTGGCTTCGGTAGACTTGGTGGCATATTTCGCCATCACGTTAGGCTGCTTCAACGCTTTCGCTCTAAAGAGCGAAAAACAGCCAGGACTGCACAGAACACAACCGATCGTATGTTCCGTAGATTTTTGCAACCAGTGGCCAATAGCGTATTCAAATTTTTGGAACCAAACCATTGGACCTGTAGTAACAAACAGTGTAAAACGCTCAAGAGCTTCAAACAAAGCCATCTCTTTTCCGTATATTAGAAAATTGTACGAAATTTAAAGTCTCAAAAGCTGTTTGTTTAATAATAAATATACTAAAACTTTTCTTCGTCCATCGTTCTCCGTCTATCGGTTACGTGTTATAAAGAAACTGTGAAACTGTGATATCGTGTGATTTCTTCAATCACACAGTTACCAACAATTATATGTAACAATACGTTCTTTCTACGTCCCACTTTTATGAGATGATTGACATTTTTTATTTGTCGCAACCCGCATATACCGCATACCTAATCCGACCGGATGTATTCGCCCACACGCGGCACCAAGATCTCTATCCTTTTTCATCAGATCCACCAGAACTTTAACCGCGGCCGGTCGAAAGTCGATATCTCCGTCCAATGTAAGAATGTACGTGTTCTCGGCAATAGTCTCTTTCCGATCTACGTCGATCGGTAGTCCCATTAGACGATAGCCCAAAAGATAATACATATACATGACCTGAAAAAATGAAACAAAATGTTTCGCTCGGATATTTTCCTTTGAAACTTTACTTACGTAACGTTGTCTCTAATAAAGGTTTAATGATATGCTTATTCGCGTTTATATATAAATCATATATTACATGTACAATATATTGACTTGATCTGAAATGCATTACACATATATGCGCGTGTGCAACGTTTCATCAAATTTTTATTAGAGAACGACTTGATCAGGCATACGTTTATTTCTCATACTTGACTCCACCGTTTTCTGTGTCTAATCTTGTTTTTATCCTTCAGGTGAACTACCAATTTAGTTTTTCCTGGCAACGTCCACACAAGACGACCCCCGTAAGGCGTCGGATATTTAGTAGGCGGCAAAGAACGCATGCACAAGTTCTCCACATTTTTTTGGACCGTCTCCACCAGCGTAATCACATATTGATTGACTTGCGTCTCATTTTCATCGTGCGTACACAAATCAACGCAGCCGTGCATGCAGCAAAATGCATCGTCGAAGAAAATGTGTGCTGATTTCAAAAGCACAAGTACAACATTTATTCAACAAATGTATTGAATAATTTTCTTTATGGCTATTCGCTCGCTAAATTTTTCGAAAATATTTTCAAAAACTACGTCTCGCAAAATTTGTGACTTGTACGTTATCATTACGATAAATCCGTCCGCTCTTTAATCTTTTAATCATAATATATTGTCTGTGACGATCGCGACTCACTTTCCAATTCGTAATAGTCCTCGATGTGAACCTTGTAATATCTCTGCGTGACGCGTATCGCACACTGGTCCTTGTCCAATCGCAGAATACTGCCTACCAAATGATTCATTTCGTTCTTCTCTTCGTGCCACATTGTAGCGCACGCGTAAATCCTCGTCACTCGATCTTTATGTTTATCGATCGTCGTCATATCCTCCGGATCATCTTTGTCAAGGTCTCGTTCGATTCTTCCAACGTCCAAGCTAATATCGGTAGCTTCGAGTCTTGGGTCACCATTCTGAAATTCAATTACGTGCAATAATAAATGTATGTACGTGTGATGATAAATAAATAGATGAATCAACTCCAAGTTAATCTCTTTACTGCAAGTGGAGCATCTTTGTGCTTCTCCTCGCGCGCGTGGATCCGTGCGTCTCGATCGATATTTTCATTCTGCGTCCTTCTATTTAAAGCTAAACATTGGTCAATCATAAGCGAATCGTAAGTGATGATGGAGAAAATTCTTTCAGCTAGCGCCAGTCTTTCGTTTTCGGTGGTCCATAGGTGCATCGTGATCCATATCTGCGACATCAGCCATGTAAGCCAGAACCAAATGTACCAGCTGGAAAGAACGTCGTCCCAATTTCCAAACAGGACGTCCTCGAAGAAAAGATAGTCCGTTGTAACGTTGCGAAAGATGTCCTTATTGTTGCACAATGTCACAATCAAACACACCGCTCCCAGACTAGCCAGTGTCGTTGGAAATGCGAAACCAAACTGGTGCATATGAGTTCTGTAAGCGAATTTACCTGAAAAGTTGTCAAAGAGATCAAGATTTGAAGATTGAAAGTCATATGCTCTTGAACTTGTGTATACTTGAAGAAAAATAAAATATTAAAAAAATGATCAAATTATATATCATATGTAGAACAGAGGTAAAGACTGCAGCAGGATACTCTCGCATCGTTCTTATCCAACGACGTTCTTTTGAAACACAGTACGTGTTGTTGGTTACTTTCAGATTTTTGCGCGGTCTGGATCTACGTGTAAGTAAGCCTCATGGACAAAAGGCTTGCCGCACTTTCATCTTTTTATGTATTATTTTTTTAGTTTTATAATACATGTACATTTTGTTGTGTGGCCATTTCAACTTACAAGACTGATACATCATCATGGCGCAAGCAGCTTGAATGGCAAAGATATAAAGGGGTGTAGGGATAGTGAATCTCGGTGAGAAAAAGCTTCTGGCATCTATTCCTTCGCATACGTTAACAACGAGAGCACCCGTGATGAAAATGAATATCCTCCAAAGGGAGACATATCCTTGTACGACGTGCTGGCCTGATTGAAGATCTTCTTTCGCACGGAATAAGAATCGCACTAGACCTGTTTTAATCATCTAAATTATAATAAACTAAATTGGTTCTCTCGCAGTAAAAACACTCGCGAAAAGAAAAAGGATATTTGAAATAAATATTCAAAGGTATTTTCGAGATTTTGCCGACAAGATGCGCACCTTATATAATTTCTCATCTTACTCTCTCTCCCTCCTCCCCCAACCCCCCCATTTTTCTCTTTTTCTTTACACGAGACGGCCTTAGGACCTATCTACCTACTTACATATACGTGACGTGATCAATATATACGTACCGATGTTGCTGTGGGACGACACAAAGTTGCTCCACCAGCGACTCGAGCATAAGACAAGAGCAACGGGAGAAAGCCACATCAACGTTGCGTCGACGTCGTGCTCGATATTAAGGATCAAAGGCCACAACATTCCGCTAACTTGGGCGGTCAATGCCAGTGCGTCAACAATTTTTAGCAATCTTAATTTGCTTGCCGATACATTTTGACTTGATTTATTTCGCGAAAGTAGATCTATTAAATTTTAATCATCGTCGGTATTTATATTATACATATATAACACGTGCGAATTCTTAATTACCGCGGAATATCGTTGTACACGTAGGAACGAAAGCAGTCTATTTCCGAAAGCTCGTTTATTTGAATCGAGCGTCAATCAATTGTATTATACATATACAATACGTATATTATACGTGTGTGTGTGTGTGTGTGTGCGCGCGTGTGTGTGTATAATAGCAACGGCAAGTTAAAGTAAAAAAAAAGTTGCCTTCTATTGCTCTCGGCACGTAGTTACGCACTTACTCAACAATCCTGGGACGAAACATAGGCAACAGAAAATGGCGGCGCCTTGTACCGCACCGATTTCCGGTAGAATGACAAAAGTCAACAAGACTAAACCGATCGTGTGGAGCGTGTCCAGCAGAATCATGAGCAGAATGTTTCGTTTCTTTGGCATTCTTGGTTTCCCCTTGAATAGATAGTGCCACAAAGTATTCAACACTCCGAGGCATTCCGGCACGAGAAATATGAAAATCAGACACCACGTCCATTTTATACGGTCATCCTGCGTGTGTTCGGTAAAAAGCGCCTCCAGCTCCTCCTTCTCTATATGTAAAGGAATCCGGAAGTGTTTTGCGTAAAAGGATTTAATATTGTAAATTTAATATTACGTATATGGATAAGGAAAAATTTCCCCCTTTTTCCTTTTCGCTAACGTATAACACTATACCTAATACTATGACACTTGATTGATAACGTGTGATAAACGATAAGCGATAAGATAATATAATATGTCTCTTTTAAATAAAAGAAATGAAAGATCAATCCCCTGCTCAATTGTAAATTCTCAAGTCCAAGTCACGTCTCCATCATCTCTCCTTAGATTTGAATATTTAATTTAATATCGTCTCTATAATTATAGATTGCGCAACCTGCTGCCTCTGCATGTTAAAATTTCAAAATTTTTAAACTGCCAAATTTGGAAACTTGGCAGTCCGTACTTTAGGATATAAGAATATTTGTGTGCAAATATTTAAAACTTTTGTTTAGTGTTGTTTACTCTAAATTGAAATCTTACCTAGATTACGATTATAAGAGAGCAACGATTCATTCTTTCGTAGCTGCGCGGTGGCCAATAGAACAGCTAATTTAGACGCGATGCCGCTGCATAAAACGATAGTAAATAACAATCCATAAATGAACAGCTTTAAGATCCAAATAACGATCTCGAAAAACCTGTTATTTCGCATAGATCCACTTTCTGGTGGAGGAGGAAGACATTCGAACGCGTCCCACGGCGGAACGTCTTTCTGCGAACTAAAAGGCACGATATGTTTTATGTGTTTGCGAGCTTTTCATTCTTCAGTAGTACGCAGCACTATTTGGCTTACTATTATCTCATCTCTCTCTCTCTCTCTCTTATATGTAATTATTTTCCTTCCTCAGTTTTCTACATCTTTCTACTACATCTCTTTTTACATTTTTATACATTGTTTCGCGCATGATTTTATTTCTTACATCTTATATCCTTATTCCTTTTCTTTTTCCTCAACAACACGTGTTCATTTTGCAAAAAAAGAATGCATTTCATAGAAACACAAGATTCATTCGTTCAGTCATTTCACGTCATCTACTCTTTATGACAGATACAAAATACACGTAATCGAAACATTCTCTCTCTTTCTTTCAAGATACCATAATTTTAGAACAGATGGCAAAACAAAAATGTAAAGGTGAAACTAACAACAAGTAAAAAATCCCCCCGCCCTCACTAAAAAAGAAAATTATAATAGCGAATTCAGTAGTACACGCACTAGTGCGTGTCTAGCCGAATTCACTAAAGACATTGAATTTTCTAATTCTCTAAACACATACCTCTCTTCTTCAGTTTCATCGAATTCAGAGCTGCTGTCGTCATAGTACGTGTCAAAGACGCTAATCCTCGGTTCGTTTCCTCGGTTTATCGGCAACATATTTGCCGAAATCTTGCGACAGCTTACGATCGCGACAACCGCCGAAATTGATATATTATATGCCTGCGGTACATGTGGTAGATGCGTCATCGATCGACAAAGTATTATCATCGGTTCCATGATAAGGTTAGATAAGATTTATATAATTAGGACCACGTCGGAATGTGGAGTACCGTAATACACATTTCCGGATACGCGCTTGCCGTACAAGTGTGCTGTATAGTTATATTATGCGACATTATGACGCCCATATTATGGAACCAAGTCATTTAACAGACTTCTTCGTATTACACATATAACGTTCTAGCTCGAGGAGAATGTGTTACATATTTATAAACATTGAAATGTTTTTATTTAGAGTTCCATAAATAACATAAGCAAATCCTAGTTCTAACACTTTATTAACGTTATTTTTAGGAAGAAGTGATAAATTTTATCACATTACGTAACACTGCAGAGAACAAAAAAAAATAATCATTTGCACGATATGACTGCATGCTGAAAACCAAGTGGTAAGAAAATAGTATATCTCTAATATACATATAATATTAACTCCCCGCACCGATCATGTATATACGCATTTATTTTGCGATGCCAATAACCCCACAGGCAAGACGATCGCCAGCGTTGCCAGTTGTTTTTGACAGGTTGTGGCCACCCTTGCCCAAATCATCAGGATCAGCGTGGACCTAAAATTTGAAGAAACTGAATTAACATATCTATTTACAAGAGACAAATACTAAGAGAAAGGCAAAAACAAGTAAGAAAATCTTTGACTACGTGACAATATTAATGGAAAACGTGTCACTTTACAACCAAGTATACCTATGTATGAATTAAGCGTGTAAACATTTCTGATACACATCTCAGAACCAGCATTTACCTTACACAAGTATGTCGTATAATATATTAACTACGTACGTCAAATCATATTTATTTTTATAAAATCATTAGTAATACTAAAGAATAAGAATGGTACGTGGAATGGTTCGTGGGTTACAACGGCCGCGTATCAAGTACAAATCAACGAGACTCTCAATTCTAATATTATATACCACGAGAGTTCGTCCGATGATACTGTGCGCTCCGTGGAGTTGAATCTGACTGTCGGTGATGTTAACTTCCGTGTCTTTATCAGCATCCGCGGTTGTCACGTTTCCTAAATCTCCAACATGGCGCACTTGGTCATTCGGACCACCATGATCCTGTTCACGTGGATTGAAATGAGGGCCCGCACTCGTGCAACCTGTAAAAAAAAAAAACATCAAGAATTAGTTTACGTTCATAACTTACTTGAAAATACTTCAAGTAACTGTTTATTCCGCCAATGATATTTAATAAAATAAACACAATGTATTCCTTTCGACAACAATTGGCAATCAATATAAATTAACGCTTATTCATTCGACGTTTCGACCCAGGCTTCGGGTCCTTCTCAAGTAATCTAACGAAAAAATATATAAAAGGCATGCGGTCAATAACATTGTCAATAAATTAAAAATACAAGATTATCGTCCGTGTAAATTAATACCTAATGAGGGAGAAAGCAGTGTCGTCGCGACATTCCCCGTCCAAACCATTATGAAATTTTGACAGAAATATCACGTGCAAAGCTGGAATTTGCAAAGAATAAGATATTTCCGTGAAGAGAAGAGAAATCAGTATAAATTAACAAAAAATTGGTTTAATTACACGGAGAATGTCCCACAGCAGCGCAAATTCATGTCGCAGAATCTCCCGCATCGCATCTCAAGCCGCGCACAGCGGGCAGAGCACTCGGCCACCAACATCAAAACATATTCGCACCGAGAAAGTCAGGCACATACTCAAAAATGTGCCTGTCGAAAGGAATACATTGTGTTTATTTTACTTGAAAATAGTTGAACAACGATGATACGTTGTAATCTATGCCATGTCGTATTGTGTGAAACACATCGTACTTGAGCGATATATAAATTAAAATGACATAAAAAATTAAAAGCGTGCAACAAGAAAAAAAAAATGAAAAAACCTTGGGAAAATTCGACCAAAATTTGCTTGAAAGTTATTAAAACATTTTAAACTGAAATAAATGTAAAAAGTACTAAAATATCATATATATACATATATAGATATCTTCTGTCCCCGCATGAACCTGTTTACGACAAGCAAGCAGATATCCATATCGCATACATTCATTCTCCACACACAACGTAGCTCGTGTTATCAACTTTATACAAGTCGAAAATAAGACAAGTTTGATAAAAATGATAGAGTTGTGCACACGTTCAATCAACTTTAGTAAATTTGTAGAAACTCTCGTCACTGTTTGAATCAATTACAAAGCGTCAAATCTGTAGAGAAAAAATTACAAGTGAGGGAGATTTTTAAAATATATTTTAAATTAACTTTTTTTTTCAAGTCTGTAATGTCCGAGCTACGTCATTCATAATGCAACGTCTCATTAGATATTCTCATTAAAATTAACTTGAACGTACCATTTGTATTGTCGCCAAATTCATGAATATGAAAACCGTGCTGGCCTTTCTTTAAGCCGGAAATCTGTCCAGTCACCTTTACCTCACTTTGACATTCCTGCAATGCAAATCGAGTCCTTACTGTGATAACAGAGTAAGTGAATTTTTTAGAGGATTAAAAGTTAACACGTATTACATTAAGTGTGTATGTATGTATGAAAACAAGTCTTTCGACAACGTAGATTACTAGAAAATATATAAAAACTATCGCGGTACGATTCAGGATTCAGGTGATCGTCCGATGACTCTCATATATATAAAATGTAAAATCATATCAAGCAAAAAGCATTATCGTATCGCTAGACGCTAGATAAAAATCTTTCAAGCCTGCAGTTTGAGAAATATAAGCGGATATCTTTTGAGAAAAGATATAGCGAGATCAATCTGAAAATTTCGATGAACGTGCCAGACTTGTGCGGCGAGGAGGGAAAATTGGAAAAAACAGACGTTACCGCTTGTTCAAAATGCACGGTTCCTCTGACAGCCCCTCCCTGCTGGCCTGGCTGAAGGACACAGATTGCCTTGATCGCCTTGCTGGTCGACATCTCGCGAATGTATTTTCGTCTATTCCGGTCTATTCGCGTGCCTGCCCAAGTCCCGCGTGTCCCGAATGGATAGTTCCAACTGCGCGGTACGTCGCGGCTTGGCTTATGCTTATACGGTAATTAAATAATCAACGTGCTGAATGTTGCTGAATCACGAATAATCAGACGAGACAAAAACCGCTCACGCGTGACGTATGATCAGTATGTATATGTTTTGTATACATACATACATGCATATGTATGTATGTACATATGTGTTGAGGACAAATGAAGACAGAAAGGTCGTCCGGTTGAGTTTCGGAACGCATCCCATTGCATCCCATCACGGGCCGCGTTCAGCAGACACAACTGTTGGGTTCGTCTTATCAACACTCTGCGTTGATTCGTTGGTTCTAAAAGTAAGAGCCAATCACGTTCGACTGCTACTGAGCGGCTTGGTCTGCTGAACGCGCCCAATTATTCTCCTCAAATTTAAGGGGATCCTGCAACCGTATGATTTACCGACATTATCGTTTTTCGATGGATCTTTTAATTGGCTTTACAGAATTGCAAGTTTTTGGTCTAGAATTAAAGTACGCACAAAAATCTAGGGTAGAAAACGCGATTTTATATCAAAAACACCAAAAAATTAAAAATATTACTTATTTGGGCACATACGCAGCTGTCACCTGACGACAATATTTGCTTAAAACAAAAATTCTGCAGTTTATACATACATAATTTTTATCATCTGCAATGGATGTTGTAAGTCGCAAGTCGTAAGAATTGGCCAATCACAGTGCATTATTCTTCGACCGCAAGGAGAATAATGAACTGTGATTGATCAATTCTTACGACTTACGACTTACACAACACCCATTGTAGACCGGGCCTAAAACCCCTTAAGCTGGATGCACAATACAAACACAGTTATCACAGTAGGTGCTTTCCATTTACATTAAAACTCGGATAATTCTCACTTGTGACGTCGTTCTGTCCTTTTTCGCACGTAATAAATAATAAAGAAAGAATGGCATCACAAGTGAGAATTATTTGAGTTTTGATGTACATAAATGGAAAGCAACTAATATAAGTGTCACTCTCTGTCGGCACCACGGTCTTACATACAGGTCTGGAAACTCAGACCGATTTCGGTGGTGGGGGATGGTCGTTTTAGCAAGGAAGAATTTATTTCACGGCGTTGTCACTATGCATCGCTGTCATCGCGAAGTGTAGATGGTAACCCATGGTAACGTGACAACAATTTTTTAAGGTAAATGTACCAGTGGTCGCACACTTAAGCCACAATTCAGATTGTGATACAAATTTAGCCCATTTAGACGCATGCTTGGTACAAATGACTTGAACCATCTTGAAGCTTAGGGTTTCTAGTTTCTAAAACACATGCAATGTTTATTTTAATATTCAGTCATTTATTATTTATGCCGCGAAAATGATAAAAAGGTCAAATGTACCAGTGTCCGCACAGCCTTTACTCGGTATGTCCCACCCAGTGTCCGCACAATACGATATTTAGGCTGCGGTCCACTTGATGCTACAAATGCTTCGAAGCATTCCTCCTTCAATGAAGAAAGAAGGAGAAGAAAAACGCTTCAAAGCATTTGTGGCGTCAAGTGGACCGCAGCCTTAAACCAAAATATATTCAGCCGTAACATAACCTCTCCATGTAAACAGCAAACAATTTTTCTGATACTGGTTGCACAGATTCAGCATGCACATTAGATTTATTGCAGATATATTATCAACAATGAGTACTTACTTATCAATCGGTTTTCCACACGATATTTTGTTTTCTTTTAATCGAAACACCAGAATTAATTCCGTAGTAACAACTTTGCATCGATCGAGAAACAGCGTGCTACGCGATGTGCGGTTACTGGGACTAGCGAACTCGCAGGGTTGTACCAGTATCCGAACAGCCGTGACGTGCGAGACCGAATAAACAATTTAAAATAAATGGTAATCCGTGCAGAATCATACTTCAAATTTGTTTGTTATTACAATAACGTATTGTAGATCCCTACACAATTTTTAGATTTGCAATATTCTTCACGAAATGCTTAATAAATTGAAAACATTAAAGTCGTGTGCGGCGACTGGGACGTGTGCGGCCACTGGTACGTTTACCTTAATTGCGCTTAAGAGCCAAAGCACATAACATGGCGTAGCGATATACGACGGTCGTAGTCCCCGACCTGACAGATCAGGATACGCCAAAGCTTGTGCGTTACTTACGTCCACGACTACGACTGTCATATGTGCTTTGGCCCTATAATTCAAGTGCATTTTTGAAAATGACATATAATGCACATCCTCAGTCGCTGAATTTGTAAACATGAAAAGTCGCGGTGGTTTGAAGCATGCAAACCACCATTTTTTTCATCTTATTCGATATGTTGAATCGTGTTTTGCAAAAAATGCCTCGCACTTGCATGTATTTAAATGGTTTTCTTAAAACGAATAAAAAGATTTCTAACGTTTTATTCTTAATGCAAAGTCATTTATTATTTCTTTGAGCTAAGTTGAAATACTTTCTTCGGCTCCTGAGGACATGGACAGCGACATGGATTGAAAATAACATCTTTCTCATGTAAATCTTTTTTTATATGACATTTTCTTTCTTTAAATAACTGTAACTAGTCACAGTAAAAAGGTCGATATCGACCTTGATTGACAATGTGTACAACTACATTGATATTTTTTGGAATAAGAATGTATATAAATATTGAAACCTGTAAATTAACTATGGATTCTCGAAACGGGTAATTATTATTTACTTCATATTCCTTTACTCATAGCCTTCAACTTTCTAATTAATCTTATAAAACCAAGGCATACGTAAGGTAAGAATCAGAATTAATACAAGTCAACCGCTCTCATACCGAGAATCACGCGTCATCTTTAAATATTGTAAATTAAGAATAAATTATATATCAATTTATTAATTTGCGCATTCGTATAATTGGCCTTCCGTTTTTTTATGATCCGGTGTTCGTTAGAATTAAGTTTCTCGTTATGAGAAACAATTTATATTGATATTGTTTATTGATATCGTTTGTATTCGAAGAGAGATATTTCTTTTCCATAAAATAACATTATATCTTACAAAGTAAATTATTTCTTATTGTTTTATTATAATTAGATTCCAAATAAAGGATGAAAAAGAGCTTGGTCGAAATAACTAACTATTGTAAAACAAAAATCGTGTTGTCTATATTGTTCATTTAGCAATCTAAAACACACTAGGAAGGCACAGTATTATATATGCTTCACGCAGAATTTTTATTCCCTCAGTATCGCTCGGTCAGTATTTGTCCTTATAAAGAAACGAATAAAAAGATTTCCAACGTTTTATTCTTAATACAAAGTTATTTATTATTCCTTTCCTCATTTGAAACTTCAATTATTGCCTATTTGACACTCACGATTTTGAATTTACTAATTACTATTTCCGTCCTTGTCCTACCACATAATACACTGACCGATGGCAGCGACTCTTACGGTCACAAAGCGAGTTATTTTCTTCGTCGCTAAGGCGACCATCCCCCACCACTAGAGTTTCCAGACCTGTATGTAAGACCGTGGTCGGCACCTTTCATCTATTGGATTCCGATTTACAGCCATGTTTTTGGGGGGATCATCGGCGTATCAACGCCGTGGTTTAATCAAGTCCCAGTTTCAGGGTTATATAACCTCTGTTTTTAATGGTTTTTAATTAGCTTGGAAAATCTTATCAAAATTTTCCCAATATACAAGCGTCTCTGCACGTCACACATTTTCCAATATTTTACCTCAAACGTATGTATGTATGTATGTATGTATGTATGTACACACATGCAAACATACACATACAAAAATCTTCTGATTGGTCTCCCCTCCTCCCCAAAAAATAATGGCGATGCGCAGTGCGGATCGGCTTAAACCACAAAAAAGGGTTGAGTCAGTTGAGTGAACATATGTTGGTCATGTATTGATACGTATTATAGCGAAAGAGAGGATCGGGGCAATCTTAACGTTAACGAAGAAGAAGAAGAAGAAGAATTATATCAAAAGCAAGTACTTGTAAATAATTTAGGTTATCCACGACCATATATCAGACATGCAATTTTATAATTAATTCTTATTTTATATTACATTAATAAACATTATTAATAGTACGTGATATTTATTTTAACATTCTACATATTTTTACATTTTCGCACAAGTTGACATTATTTCAATATGCAACTTTTTTACCGTTAGCATATGTATATTACGCAAAAATATGCTCCAACAATAATATATATTTACATCTATTTTAAATAAGAATATACAAGACGAACTGTGTTAAATACACACGTCGGGCTGTCTCGCGAGTATCGTCGGTATACTGGCTAGGATGATGTAATCCATATGTTATCCATGTGCCATCTTTTACAGATGGGTGAAGACAAGCCAGTCGAGTGTCCTCCTCCAACAGGGTATCGATTCAATCTTGATTGTATAGCTCGCCAACTAATTTATTTCTGCATAATTTAGACAAATATATTTCTTGCTACAGTTGTTAACAACGTGAAGTAGGTTTCAAAGGAAATGTTTAATTTTCTTACGTGCAGACTTGCAGACTATGTCGAATATCTTTGCATTTTATAGATAAACTGATATTTACAGTTAATATAACTATTACGTGAGAACAAGTTTATTTATGTCACAGATATAATTTAATTTCCTACGTATATCGTTTTGTTAGCATCGATATTATGATTATTCCAAATAATATCAGAATAAACGTTGTGTCATTTTCTTATAAAGAGAAGAGATGTCTAAGAAAGCGCTTAAGAAGCAGCAGAAGGAACTACAGAAAGCAGTGAAAAAGGCAGAAAGAAAAGTTCAGTCTGTAAGTTGTTTTATAATAATTATTGACTAAGAAAAATTAAGTTTGTCCTTTAATCAAATAGATATAATCCTAAAGTCGCGTAAAGTTACGTGAACGTTATGTACTTGCTATATACATATAATGGATTCAGTTTCTAAATCGATCGGTAAAGTAAATAAAAAATATTGCCTTTGGTACCATGTTGTCCATGTTTCCAGTGTTCCCAGCAAGAATCTACAAATGAAACTGAGGATGTGTCTGTGGGAAAGTACGGGCAGATGGATATGATTCAGAGTAAGGAAAGATTTGAGGACAGAAAGTTTACGGAGATCAAGAATCTGAATAAAAATCTAGAGAATCAGACAGTTTGGCTGAGAGGTCGCTTACACACTAGTCGTGCAAAAGGTAAGGTAATAATAATGTTGCTTTACAGAAAACTGACTTGATCGTGGTTTGTACAAATAAAACTTTAATCTCACGTCTCTCTCTCTCTCTCTCTTTTTTTTCTTACAGGCAAGCAATGCTTTATCGTGTTGAGACAACAATCGTACACCGTACAAGGACTAGCTGCTGTGAATGAAGAAATCAGCAAACAAATGATTAAATTTATATCCAAGTAAAATCTTAAAGATCTGCGTAAAATTGATTGGAATATTAAGTGCTATATACATATATTAACGTGGCGTTTCGCGTCTCACTTAGCATTACGAGAGAGTCCATAATCGATGCTATGGCCGTGGTGATGCCTGTGCCCTCGAAAATTGAATCGTGTTCGCAAAACGATGTTGAGGTTCATTTGAAGGAAATATTTGTGGTAAGCGCCGCAAAGCCGCAACTTCCTTTGCAAATAGAAGACGCCGCGAGACCTGTTGGCGAGGCGGACGAGACGGCACTCAACGTACGAGTGAATCAGGATACCAGACTGGATAATAGAGTTTTGGATCTACGTACTCCGGCCAATCAAGCGATTTTCAAGGTCGAAGCCGGTGTTTGTAAGCTCTTTAGGGACATTCTGACAAAGAAGGTAAGCATATAATGACGTTTTGATCATCGCCGAAACCAATTCTTTCCTTTCGGTCCATTCTTTTCAGGGCTTTGTTGAGATCCATACTCCCAAAATTATTTCCGCAGCCAGTGAGGGTGGGGCGAACGTGTTTACGGTATCTTATTTCAAAGGCACGGCTTACTTGGCTCAATCACCACAATTGTACAAGCAGATGGCAATTGCCGCAGATTTTGACAAAGTTTTCACCGTCGGAGCAGGTATATCGTGTTTGATAAAAATAGAACGTGTTTCGTTGAACGTTTCCTGTGGACGGCGTTATTTGAATGCGCAAGTTTTTCAAGTTATCGATAGGTGCGATTAAAGGCGCCATTCTACAATAGCGTAAACGTGGTTGTAAGTAGTTGTAGGCGTAGTTGTTGAGTAGTATAGTATACTACCGTTTGTGTAAAGCGTGTTGTGGAAGATCGTTCATCTTTCACGACTACGAAGATATAAAACGCAAGATCTAACCAATCAGAGAGAGTGCTGTTGATCACATGACCATCCTGACCAAGCCGCACGCATTCTTTTTGTCGAAATAGAAATATAAACGTGAAAACATTTTCTACAACACTTACGACTACTACTACTCCTACAACCCTACACTTACGTTTCGCGCTATTGACCTAGTTTACATCGATCACTTGATACGCGTATTAAATAGTAAATAACTAGTAAATAAGTCTGATTATTGGCTGATCAGTTCAAATATACTATTTGATACGCGTATCAAGAGATCGATGTAAACTAGGCCATTGTAAAATAGGTTTAACGCTAAGCGAGACTAGCTTGCGTCGAAATACATAAAGGCAACGTGTTCCAACAGCGCGAATACTACGCACAGTGGGCGAGAAGACTTTCTTATCCTCTATACTTTTAATTTATCGGTACACCAAATGACTTTTCTTTCCATTTTTATTCCACGAGAATATGCACAAACGAACAATGTCGTTTCGCGCGTGATGTCGTGCGAAAACACGTGCGTTTTCTTCCGTGCACATGTGCCACTTTATAGGGTATGAATAGGTGACCAGAGGCAAAGATGAGAGAGAGAGAGAGAGAGAGAGGGAAAGAGAGTTTTCTCGGTCCCAAGGACGTAAGCTTTAGAGGGGATTCGATATTCTTCTTCACAAATATGATACCTTTAACACGACGTGCGCTGAGAATGTCGCGATTAGTTTTCAGAGCGGAAGATTCCAATACGCACAGACATTTGACAGAATTTGTAGGCCTTGATCTGGAGATGGCTTTCAAGTATCACTATCACGAAGTGATGGACACCATCGGACAGATGTTCACCGAGCTATTTAAAGGCTTACGCGATAAGTTAGTTTAAAGTGTAATATAATATTTATGCTTGTATTATATTCTTTCGTTCTCGATACCTACCTACCTACCTACCTATCTATCTATCTATCTATCTATCTATCTATCTATCTATCTATCTATCTATCTATCTATCCATCTATTTACGAATTTTCGCACGTTACATTATTACGTTACTTTGTGGGGATTCAACAGTTATGCAGACGATATAACGGCAGTTGGTCAACAGTATCCAGTGGAGCCTTTCAAGTTTCTCGAACCGGCTTTGAGATTGGAGTACTCACAAGCGATCGAATTGTTGGCAGAGGCGGGCGTGACCTTGGGAGAAGAGGATGATCTGTCGACACCGGATGAAAAACTCTTGGGAAAACTCGTTAAGAGCAAAGTAAGACAATTTTAGACAATTTTAGAAAATGAACAGAGCTCAACACGTGAGACGACGAGGCACTAGAAATGCAAAAATATAAAATCCCGTCGATCGGTTCAAGTTGAGCACGACTTTTAAAAAATGTAATAAACTCTGATTATATACGTTACCGCGATTACTTTTAATTCTTCAGTATAGCGCGTGATTCGGATTTACTTTGCACGTTATTGTTAGTATCTCTTGTTTTCATATTGCAACGTGCGTTATATAAATGTGTTATTTTTTTTTCCAGTACGATACAGACTTTTACATTTTGGACAAGTATCCTCTTGCTGTAAGACCTTTCTACACCATGCCGGATCCAACGAACCCTGTAAAGTATTCCTACATTGCGTATATAAAATCGCACAGTATTTTTTTCTCTCTTTGCTTTTTAACAACTATTAATCTTGCGTTGTAGAAAGTGTCCAATTCGTACGACATGTTTATGCGAGGTGAGGAAATCATATCTGGCGCGCAACGTATTCACGATCCGGATTTTCTTACCGAACGCGCCAAGCATCATGGAATTGGTAAGCGAAATATTTGCACGAGACGTCTCGTTTCGTGTTGCGAGCGTTAAAAATTTTGGGAAATCTTTATCAACGTAGACTGAACGCACTGACCCTTTTGTAAACGGTTTTTCATATTTAGTTAATTTTCGATTTTTATCTTTCCTACTCTTTTCCAATCATTTCACCCACCCATTTCCTCTGTACATACGTTGAAAAAAACTCTTTGCCACTTGATGCCTCGGCGATGATGCGGCGCATTTTTCGCACATCGTCCTTTCTCAGTCTTTAAGAAAATTTCAGAACGTATTCGAGTATTAACAAAGTCAGTTTGTTTCAGATATCGAGAAAATCAAGTCGTACATTGATGCCTTCAGATATGGTTGCCCGCCACACGCTGGTGGTGGCATAGGCATGGAACGCGTAGTGATGCTGTATCTCGGCCTGGACAACATTCGTAAAGTGTCCATGTTTCCGCGCGATCCCAAACGGCTCACTCCTTAGCCTTGAGAGGCTTAACTTTGAATGTCTGTAGCTGTATAGACGTTAAGAAGACTTGAGAGTAAAATCTTTTACCTTGAATACATATATGTTAAAAAACGTCTTTTATCTTTCCTTTCTACCACAATGTATGTTCATGTACTATTTGCTGAGAGATCGTACTTGAATCGAACGAAAACTTGTCCGTATCGCGCGCAGGGGGTCGCGTGACTCGATTCGTGAGGGAGTGACGGAGCTGGACGGAGCGTCTCGTGTCGTATGACGGACGGTTTGACCACGTGGCACGTGGCACGTGGCGCGTGTGACCGCAGCCCGCAGCCCGCAGCTGCGTGTAGCCCTCCGGTGCCTGGAGTTTTTCCACTGGATCAGCCACGCAGATATTTTTATCCCACTCTCCTCGAGAGAGTGGGACTCGCGTTTGATCCACGTCGTCAATTGGCTGATTTAAAATAAAAATATCTGATTGGCTGGTCCAGTGGAAAAACTCCAGGCACCGGGGGTTGTGAATGGCTGTGGTCACGCGCAACGTGATCAAACGAAAAGTTTTCCCTCCCACTCCTCGTATAGGACATCTGTGTGATCTGTCATCTGCGCTGTCATCTGTGCGTTTTAAATGTAGAAAAATATAACGCGGTCGCGATACCTACCTTTTACCTTCGCGTCGGATGCGTCGCATTTGCGAATCTGCGCACGGAAGAGAGAAACATGCCGATTTGAATCTTTTTATTAAAGTTACACGCAAACGAAATCAAAGAATGAGTCGAACCACGTAAGACAATAGTTGATGCGAATATACAGGTTATGTTTTACATCGCACACATGGATTTACTCGTGGTATCCACTCTTGGTTGCGTTTTACATAACATTGCACCGTTTCTGATTAGATTTGTAAGTATTTCTGAAAAATCTATATTTATAGTAGTAATATTTTCAATTTTTAATAAAGAGAAAATTTTCTTCTTTAAATTTTGATTGAAATTCGAACAGAACAGAAGATTATAAACCCAATGAGTCGCCTTTCATTTGCAAGTCCTCTAAAGATTTATACTAAAATTGAATAGAAAATTGTATTTTTGTTTATATTTGCGTTGTTGTAAATGCAGATATTCAACGTGTCTGCTCAAATCGAGATGTATCAAAAGTTGATGTTCTCGTGCTGTACGTTTCAAGTTTGTGCTTGTAGCATCCTGTGTTGTGTTGTCAAATATAGATTTCATCACGTGTGTTGGCGCAAAAGAAACATGACATTGAGCTGCGGAAAGAGCTGAGCACGTTGAAAGAAGATATGGCAGGACTCTCCATTGTGGATGAGTTTGCCAAGTATGCCAAGCTCCAACGCCAGTACAATCATGTGGAAAGTATCCTGAAAGATAACGGTGAGTTTCAAAACGTTTTCCTTTCGGTGTGTTTTCGTTTCACTCATGATTTCGCACGTGATGCATCACTTGTCCTTCTTTAACATTCGGCGAACAACAAGGACAAGCGATGCATTATGCGTATCATGCGTGAAACGGAACGCACCCTTTACTTATGTGTCTCTAGGTTTAGGGGTTTGGGCTGGGCGTGATGAGTCAGTCAGTCAGAACATTTGTCAATATATGTATATACAATAGATAGATGGAATAGATTAGATCGCGCGAGAAATTTATAATTTTTCATAGAAATAAGATTGCGCGATATAATTGATGTAAGATGGTTTTTCTTTTATTATTATTGGTATCGCTATACACGTACGTTTGTATGTATCTCTACATTTGTGCAATCATTTTTTTTTCTTTCAGTGAATCAACGACTGAATCGACGATTGAAACTTCAGATGTTGTTAATTTATAGCTTTCGTGCATTGAGCGTAAGTAGCGTGCTCGCTTAAGCGAGTCTTTCGTTGTAGTTGTATTGGATTACAAAATTGAAAGCGAGAAATCACGCAATTTAATTATTTTCTTATATCATACATTAAGATAAATTTGCTTTTTGCGTGACACCATATAAACTAAAAAGATACTGTCTGTGTGACACGTACATTTCACACGTCGATTCCATTAATTCTATCAAATAGTAACACAAGGAAGAATAAAAGTATCTTTTTTGTAATTCCGTACGTCAATATGATTAGCGGGATTAGCGGGAGTCGCTTAATATGTAAAAACGGCGACGGTCGAGCGACTCGTCACCTCGTATCCTCTTTGCGCGTTCTATCGAGCTCTATAACGCTTTCAGGGTACGTTAATCCTGTGGTTGTTCTACATGTATAAAAACGAGCCAGTTATTGTTCTTTCGGAGGATATACTATGGCCGATCGAAAATCTTTTGAGTTGGCCATGTCAGCACGAGAATGCTATTTCTCTATTAGCATGGCTCGTCATTGCCCAATTGGGCATATCGGCATGCAAAAAGCTCCATGCGTGATCTAATGAGTCTTGGTAAATGATGATTGATTAATGATCTGTACCTTGATATGAATTCTACGATAAATAAAATTAAGGATGTAATTAAGAGTATCACTTTTTGTATCACTTTAATGGGGCTCTCTATCTTGTGATTGAACTCGAATTATCGCGGAATGACGAATGATCTAGAAAGATGAATAAATGGTTTTGCAGCAGCAGCAAATTTTTCAGTTTTATACAAGTAAAAGTATGTACAAGTTAAAAATTACCGATTATCGATTATTGCGTTATGACCAAAACCAACTCAAATTTGCAAATTTTAATCGTGAATCATCGCGCTTGATATCTTTTGTCCAGAGTGACGGGTCCAATCTTCTAATATATATCTTACGTTGACCGATATCTTGCAATAGTCTAAAATTATCGCCTAATATTTCCTCGCCGTTTGAGAGTTTCCGAAACGTGTTCACCTACGATAAGACAGATAAATGGATTTTGTTACTACATACACACACATGCGCGCGCCTATATATATATGTATATATAGGCAGTATGCGACTAGAATGTCTTTTTATCAACAAAGTAAAAAAAAATTATTTTAATAATTAATAAAAAGCTTTGCTTTTTCGTTTGTATTGTTAAAATTTGTTTTCAAGAAAAGAGGAACGCTACATATTCGTAATAAAACTGTACCTGACGGAAAGATAGCGGGACTGGAACGGCGAAAATTATCCAGGTGACTACTTCGCTACAAGGCGGAGTCGTGAGAGATCCCTTGTATGTATAAAAGATATCGGTATTGGACGGTATCAGGAATGCTAGAGCGAGAGATATGTTGACCGATAGTTTCGTATGTGCCCATTGCACATCTGGTAGCTCGCTTATGAGAGATCGAACGAGCTCATTGTCCTCATCTTGCAACTGAAAGCACGTACGTACATTTAGACGTAGAACTTGGCGCTCTCGCTTTAAATCTTTGGACGTATAGAGTTTTTGATAGACTTTTATTTGTACGTGTTTTTACTTTTACGTCTCAAAATAAAATTTATAGAGTACGAGTAAGAGTAACAACGTTTAGAGGCAAACGTATCAAGTCACCTGGAAGAGAGTAGCTACTACGACCACACCGTCTTCATGCCGCAGTGCATGCGAAAAATTGGAATATGCCATATTGCGATGTACAATATGCATTTCCATTGGATATCTATGGACATTAATCTTTTCATCGCTATATTATTTAATTCATTCCTTATCATTTCGATTCGAGCAAATAAATATGATTGTTACCTTACACCGTTTAACACATGTTCAGCACCCCTATTATTTTTTATGCCCCAGTGAAAATGCAATTCTTCCATTTCATATTGTTGATTCCGTTGCAGTATAGCACCGAATATATACGGCAATCTTCCATGTATCGCCGTCTTGTCTGTAGTAAGTTTAACTAAAAAGAGAGACGGGCTATTCTCTCAGAGAAGACTTCTTCTTCAGATATAGTTGATAAAATCACAGATTAATAAATCTGTGATAAAATCATGTATATGAATCAGGAATATATATTTATACCGGTTTTTCCATTATTCATCAATATTTGCGGCGTTGGAAGAAAATCATGATAACCGACCATCTCGAGAGCCGGAAGCGGTAAAGCGATCGCTTTTGATGTGGATATAGCCACTGGTGATTGTAGTTTTCCCGCACACACGTCGTACTTTTGCGGCCACAAATGTTGCTCTAAAAAAAAGTACTTTACTGGAATAAAAATTTTCTCTTCTTCATTATATAAGGCTGCTATTTATATGTATGTATACTGATCAATCGTTCAGTTGAATATGAATACGTATATAGAATCTCGTAAATCTGTGATTATTTCTCGGTCTACATATATATATATATATATATATATATATATATATATATATAAAAATTCACTACTCGTGAGTAATCTTTGATTTATGCATTATTATGATTATCTCGACGCGTGTTTTCTCTGTATTTCCGAATTAGATTTATCTGCTATTTATCAAGTAAAGAAACAAGGGGAAGAGAAGGATAGAAAAGACTTGATACGATTCTATATATATCAAAAGCTAGGATTGATTCGCGCGAAATATAAATGGAGATCAAAAACTTGAGAGAGAGATATCAAAAACCTGTTGTCGTACCTTTCTTACTGTATCCGAAACCATTGATGCCATTACATGAATCAAGGACGAGAATTAGCCATGCCGGAGATATAACTCGCAGGATATGCATCTCTGAATTCTTTTTGCGTAAAAATTATATGATCCATATATCATGTACATTAAAAGAGATAATGGTTTTCCTAATTTTTATCGTTTTGTCGTTTGGTCTTGCGGTTACCCTACGCACATTGCGTACCTTTTTACAATGCTCAACTGTAAACTTATGCTTACACTCTGTATAACATGTACATATTCAGATGTACATACATGCAGGGTAAGACACGTTCGGCACACTTTGACAGGCGGTTACGAAGGAATGGCAAACAAATGGTTAACTGAAATGTAGTAAGTTTAACTAAACTAGTTGTGTGTAAGACATCGCGAATGACTGTGCCCATTAAATAATTTGCAGCAGTACATATATCATTCAGGTGCTTTCCATGTGTGAGTGACACACAAATCGACACAAACGTCGTTCCATCCCTTCTTGGCATTCAATATAAATAACAGAGACAGAACGACACTTGTGTCGATTTGTGTCAGTAAATGGAAAGCACTCATCACAGCTGCATATGCGTGGTGATCTTTCAAGTTACAGACGCGTCTCGTAATACAAAAGTAATAACAAGATGCTTTTTCCATAACAATAATGCGTAAAATGTATTAAAGTGGGACACTTTATTACATTCGTCTTTCGACGAATCATAGGTGATGACGATAATAATCATACGGAGATAAAGAGTTGAAAAGGCATGCCTTATAATCAGTGATCAGCGCGGGCGTAACAATATTTATTTATATGCTTTGTTACAAAAGATAACGTACAATATCCTCGCGATATATAAATATCTACAATAAAATACCTGAGTCTTGCATTTATTGTAAAGCTCCAAATATACATATCACAGTCGGACATTTATAATCAGAACTACGTAATAACTAGATTTCCAGCTTAATGTACACGCGTGAGAAATTTTATACAAAAGCTATTACGTGCTGCACGCACGTAACATCGCGTGAAGAAACTTTGGCTCAAAAGTCAGTGCGAAGGTACGTCTGCCAGAAGTATTTACAATTAAGAGTCCTAGTAACACTATTGAGAACTGAACATTTGACACTCTAGCGAGATAGTCTTGCCATTCTTACCTCGAACGATTCTTTTACCGAAATTTTCTTGAATCTTTATAGAGACGGTGCAAAATCTACTCGAGTCTCACACAGAGAGCAACGTGTCTACTAAAAAACCACACAAATGTCTCCATATTCGAATGAATTCAATGTTAAACGTTATAAAACATCGGACGTGTGTAAAAGTACAAAAAGAAAACGACACATCTGTTAAAATGGCATTTTGAATCAAACATCTTTATAGAGTAGCCGTGTTTTTCTTTAAATTTAATGTATTATATTTTTACGTATCGTATAGCTGGATAGTCTCTCTTTTGATAAAACCACGCTCTCGCAACACATTACGAGGCATTACGTGGTGTCCTTTCCTTTGTAGACGCCGCTCTTACACGTAGTCTTTAGAGGATTTTCTAAATACAAGACAAGAAAGAGTTGATCGAATTAACCGTAGAAACACTCACTAGAGATTTGTTTTGCGTGTCGTTTAAGCTTTCTCCGCATTATCCCGTGTTACGCGTGTCGTTATTTGCAGAGGTATCGAGAATAATTCTTCCCACGGTGGCTGAATAGAACTTATTACAGCCTCGACAGCACCAGGAGAGACAAATTCCAAGGTCCAGTTTTCCTCGAGGCCCGCAATCTCGTCCAAGAAATTCAAAGTCAACCAAGTGTCACAATGTTCCTAAAATTATTGCCGTACTATAATAAATGCACGATAAATGCGCAACGCGCATCGTAAAGCGTGCATCTAAATCGCAAAGCGTGTATCTCGTGTAATGCAACGTCTGTTTATGAACGTGCGTTCTGTTAGGACTGCATGTTGCGCAGCGCGACTCTTTCTAAGCTATAACTAACGGAAATTAGCGGAAAATACCAACTATCCCAATCAAATTGCTCATAGCTTGTTCCCTAGCGACCGAAGGCACTTGATCGCTGCCTGGTATGAGCCATCGAACGTTGTCCTTCAGTATGACCAATGTCACACCCGTCAGTATCACGCCGGACAGTTTCAGCTTGGTAGTGACGTTCTGACCTTTCAGGATCGCGGACGAAAAGATTGCCAGTAATCGTACGGTGTCCCCAGTCTGATAGTTGGCAGTATTCTTTAGTATATTGTGCATCAATATGCTGTAACGCTCTGGAATAGAGAATTCCACTTCGCAGCTTGCAGGCAACTGCAAATCTGTCGACAGAAACGCATCTTAAGCAGAAAAGTAAAGCAAGTTTACCGTCAGATATATATATATATATATATATATATATATATATATATATATATATATATATATATATATCATTGTCGCGGAAGCCACGATTCCGAGACAAAATTCTCACGATTAATAAATCTCATCGACGTGTCTCGGAACACATATTCTTTTTTTACCTGTGATATAAAATAAAAAATTTGACGTTCTCTGGAAATCTTGCAGGAAACAGAGTAAGGTGATGGCCAGATGCTCCTCACCGGCTTTACCAGATTGTTGTAACTCGATCAAAACACCTTGCTTAAACGGTAGCGGCACGAAAGATCTTAATCTGTCGGTCGTCCAACTGACTTCCTTGTGTAGCCAACGCTGTGGATCTTCCCTGTTACAACGTTATCTCTTTTTTTTCTTTCGCTCTCAGCTTCTTAGCGCGTAAGAACTTAGGGGTTTTTCTCGCGAATACGTAACATCGGGGTAGATGATATTTGTACACACATAAAAACATGATCTTTAATTCAACTAATCTCAAGAAAAGTACCGGTCGAGCGAACATTTAAGAATGAACCTTAATCACAAAGATACATAGTGTTCGGAATTTAAAGTTTGACGTTTCCTTAAAAAAAGTCTTTCATGACTTGGGACATTCAAAATGCCGCAAGTCGCAAGCTTACCCTTCTGGCCCATCTATCCTGAGAACGTAAACCTTGGACGTAGACAATACTAAGCATCCGGGAAACGTCTCTTGCATAGAATGCATCAAAATTTCTGCCTATACAGACGTGAGAAAGACGTGACACAAAAAGATGATACATCAATTCTATAATTCTATTTAATTTGGACTCAAATCCGGATACCTTGAGAAGAAGTACGAGTTCTTCGTTTTCATGCTCGAATACATGTAGGATAATGTGCAGTTTAATTCTATGATCTACGCTGCTAAAATCAGTATACGAATATTGCACGGTACTGCCAAAAAAGTTTGACGCCTCTTCACCCTTCAAGGTTTTGCTGCCGACCTTGATGCTCTGTAGCAAGCCTGAAAAAAAAAAAAAAAACATACAGAGTGATACAAATAAAGATATATTATTGAAAAATAAAGATACGTGACGAGATAAATGATGAGGTATGCTTCAAACGGAGAAAAAGTACTTGCTCGTTTTCTTTATTCACAACTAAACGTTTTTAATAGTGTGTGTGTGTCAAGCACGAGCATATCGGAGTTGATTTGTTAACTTTACCTCCTAGCATTGACGTCAAGCTTGTCATAGGAGCAAACGCATTTTCTTTATCACCATCGCTACTCTGGGACTTGTTGTTGTCGATGATGGTTGATTTGACCATTTTATTTTCATATGCCGTGCATATGCTGTCTGTTAATGAACCTGTAAACGATTTTAGTTAATTTTAACTTGAGCATATGCCATTAAAATAAAAATAAATAGATTTAATTTTCAACGTGCAGTTGCGTAATCTTGTAAAAAGTAACGTGTAAAAGAGAGATCTTTCAAGTTACAACAACTTGATTACACGTACGTATTTGCAAAAGAGGGTAAAAGATGACAAGATACAAACCCGAAGAACTACTTTCTGTCAGGCCTGTCATGACTGGCGTTGTTGCATCTGGTATCGTTATTAAAGAAGGAGCGATCGTGGCACGCTTTTCCTCCATCGATCGTTTTCGATTTGGTGTAACATTTGCCCTGCACCAACGGATATCACGGTTGAAATATCAGCGAAACAATATAACGAGCGGGTGAGATATATATGTATATGTCTCTCCTCTTTTCGTACAAAACTCTATTATATAAAATATTCTAGTTTTATCCAACGGGTTTTTTAATGCGCTCGTGTAGCAGCTGACCCGTATACAAGATATCAAGTATCGTATATACACTAAAACTATCACTGTAAACGATCAACAACTGTACAAGCAATCAGCGGACTAACTTTAGTGTTTCATCTAAAACTTCGATGCTGCTCTGGCTTGGATTACTGAGTATCTCTATGTCACTCTCATATTTCTTCGTCGGGACATTTGTAGAAGACGGTGTTGACTCCCTCGACTCTTCTAAACTCGTCGCTGAACCTGACGATGATGAGTATCACGTTAGATAAAAAGATGATTAATATTTTATCGTTATATTTTCTGAAAATTGAGAAAGAGAAGAAGAATAAACCAAAGAAATCTTGTTAGATGTAATATGTGAATTTCTACTAAATAAATACATTACGTCGCGCTTACAGAAATAAAAACTGGAGAACGTATAGGCGCTTACAGCATTAAAAAAAAAAGGAGTGAGAGAGTTATCGCTAAAGTATCACCAAGATATAAATGTCTTAATTTTTTTATGTGTAACGAGAGATTCAAACCTATCAGCCGCCAAAGTTTTTCTCTCTTAAGGCTAAAATTCTGTTTTAATTTTTTTTATTTTAAATTAAAAGACACGAAAGACACGTATTAACTTTCAGCGGCTGACAGGGTTGACGGGGAACATGGAGAGAAAGTGAACACAAGGAAGAAGAGGAGAAAAGAGGCAGAAGGAGCAAAAATAGGGGAAAAGAGGGAGGAGGGGGAGGGTGGGAGAGGGAGAGAGAGGGGGAGAGAGAGAGAGAGAGAGGGGGGGGGGAATGCTGTAACGTAAATTATTGTGGCTGAAGCTTACAGCAGACTTGAGCTTGGGTGTGAGAGTCGGAGTGCACCAGAGAAGTGGTGACGGATTTAGCTCCACCCTCCATTCCACCTGCACCGGTATTAGTATGTTACAGCATGTTACAGTTCCCAAAATGTGATAAAACGTATGTACAAACGCGCGCACACGCGTTGATCAGTACGCATATAATATATATATTAATATCAACACATCACGTATCATTTGAATACATTCGCTATTATTTAATTATTTAATAGATCAATCGGCTAACTAAGAAGGATTTAATTCACTTTTTTTAGCTAGAGTTAAGTACGTATCAGGCCAACTTGAACACACGTACGTGTTTTGCACAAACTGTACATAGTGATCGATTCACAATTTAAAGACAAGAACAATAAAAAAATTTAAGCGTACATTTGGCAGCTTTACTTTCCGGATGATTTAAAAGTTGTAACATTTTTCACTTGTTCATCTTCTATTTAATGATTTAAATCTTGCTCGTTCTGACTTTCCAATGTGATTGTTTCGTAGAAATTGAAAATTAATAAATTACGTCAACTCAACTCACCGGTAACATCTTGATGCAACGTTGCACGTTTTTTTGCAACGCTGCATCGAGAATTTGTATACAGATTGTGCATATTCTTATAAATTCGCTTTCGTCTATAGAATCTTGACATGCTGACGGGACGTGACGGTATCATACTTAGAGAGAGAGAGAGAGAGAGACTTACCGATACTGGAGAATGACTCGGAATGTGCCAAGTTGAGCCTCGTTGGATTCTCCATTAGCTGATTCTTTACAACTAGAGTATCTACGTTAGATGGAGTCTCTATTTCGATGACCAAGCTGCTGTCGCAGGTAGGGCATTTGAATTGTTTTGCACCTAAAAAACTCTACATTTGCACACGTGTCTCCAACTAGTACGCCATCTCATTGTAAAACAAACCTGTTGACGATTTAACAGAGAACTTGACGTATAATTCCGGGTCCTGCGAGAATTGTGTCGAGCATTTCATGCACTTGAAAACCTTGAGTAATATCGGCCGTATCTCGATTTGCTCGCCAATTGTTGTCACAATTTTCTAAAAAAAGAATCATGTTGTAAACTACAAAATCTTCGTTCAGTGTTTCTCTTGTATTCGGTACCTTTGCATCTTCTGGTTGCGCAAAGTATCGTCGGTTCTCCCTATCTTTCCTAGTAGTGTCAAATATAATGTCAACCGTAGGTGGTTCGCTCCTGCCCAAGACGCAAGACAATACGGACGTCGTCGACCAACAAACCTTAATTTTTCCCGTAATCGCATCTCTTTCTTTAATATCTCTGCAAATGTTGCGATAAAAAAATTTTATTTTTAATATAATAATAAAATCATGTCCAAGACACTATTTTGAAAAAGCTGTAATCTTTGTTTTCACTTACTCGCAAGTTATCACCAGGAATACATTCTCCAGCTCACTCTCGTTCTTCCTTTTCTGCACGATATACAAATCTCCAGCTTCTAAAAATAAAAAAAAATTCAGACTTGATGCGAGCGCGACACATCGTTAATATATTATTTAATATATTTCACCAAAGGTTTACCTTCATTAGGATCATATTCGGTTATAGTAGCAGCGTGTGTCTTGGGAAGCGTGTCCAACATATCACTCTGAGGAATCTCTTTATCGTCTTCCGCGTATTCCGTGATTTCTCGCGACTCGGATTCATCGGAAGATTCTCCATTATCCATCGCGTGAATCAGGGTATCGTGAAGAGACGATGCTGTCGTAATATCAGCCAAAGTCTGTATCTTGGATATTTGTGATTCTGGTACGTGTGAGGCAGACGGAAGACCCATAATATCCTGGACAAAAGTTCCCGCGTGACTGCTCAGCCAATTAATCTCACCAAATTTTTCTCGTAGATCCAAGATACGCTTTTTCGTCTCCAAATAATCCTTTGATGACTCTTGGACGAAAAAAATTAATAAACAAGTCAATATAACATCGCAAGAAATATATGTATATTATGCTAGTGCTATACCACCAGTTCGTACATAGTGTACGACGACTGTCGTCAACGTTGTTAAAACATAATATTTCACTGTTATATATCTCTCTCATCTATTAAAAAAAATCCTTACCCAAATGAGAAGATGCCACCACGTCAGGCAGTTTCTTAAATTCTCCTCTCTCCTGATCGATCTCATCAATGCGGGCTTCTTTAACGTTTGACCTCCTTTTCGTCCTCGTTACACTCTTTTCTAGATTTTCAGGTAACGATATCGTTCGACGATCTAATCCGTCTTGGTCGACGTCACGTGTATCAACGTGCGTAGATATCGAGCTGGTAAGAGATGTGGCGTGCGGCGTGGATATCGCAAAGATCCGATTGTCCGCTACTAGCGTTTTCTCCGACGTCGAAAGCGGCAGATGATCTAAAACAAACTGTGAGACGTTAGTCAACGCTGTGTCTCATCGTAGTGTATCAGCATCAGAGTGTTTCACACTCGATACGTTTCAATATACAATACTTGATACGCGGGGCGATACCTTGCTGTCCGATAAACTTGGATGCAAATATTTTATAGTCAGTATCCGATGTTTTAGATGATACGATAAAGGATTTCCCTCCAAGGATAACCACAACAGAGTAGACATTTTTCGCACGGGCCAGAGGACCGAATGCTCCGTTAAACAGTTAAACGACAAGTCTAACTCTGTCAGACATTCTAAACCTTGAAGACCTGTTGTACAACGTGGTAATAACAAGACGTTGTTAACGTATTATTAATCATATATTTAGGTGTAGGTACACATGCACAAAACACGTGCGTGCGTTATCTATGTAGCATGTATTTGCAAACGCGCATGTGCCTCACACGTATTTTATTTTACTATAAAATTGAATTTTGAACTAAAAGTTGATTGTATTTATGTGTGAAGCTTCTTTATCTCTTTTTTTCAAAACTTGAATATTTTACACACATTTTCGCACACACGCTGATTTACCGATAAACTTGCAAGTTACATTTATATTTAACACTGCGCAGACACCGTGGACCTTTTAAGGCACAGTCGATTTTTCAGTATTTTACAGTTTTCTCCTGATGTTTCAACACTTGAAGAAGAAAAAGAAGAAGAAGAAGAAAAAAGCAACAGTTCCAGCCCAACGAAGTATAGAAATCACTTTTTGAAACCTGAAAGATGATACATGACGTTTTATAGATTTTTTGTAACACAAATATTTTCAAAGACCCTTTGAACTTAAAAGGTGTCCGCGGGTAAGTGCTCCAAAAACACGGTGCCCGCGCAGTGTTAATAAACAAATAATTTTCAACTACATATTTGGAACGAAAATGCCTAAAAGAGAAAAAGCTTCGTACAATAATAACCAACCGTTTAACGTGTCAATATAATTGTTTTTCAACACCAACACTTGTAACGAGTGCAACACTGCCTTATTGAACGTAGGTACTTGTTCTAATTTGTTGTAGCCTAGATTCACATATCTCAGATTTGACAAGCAAGATATTTCCTTAGCATTAGTTATCATATTATGACTCAAATCCAATATCTGAAGCCAAGGTGTCAATTCTAATGATTCATCCAGGCATTTGAGAGCGTTATGAGGCAATACCAAGTGTTTCAAGGATGCCCATACGAAACCGACTCCAGCATCGCCTCCACACGCAGCTGTAAATAAAAACAATACTTGAGATAGTACTTGATAACAATCTAATATACAACATACGTATGTATGTAGAGAAAAGTGTATACGTTATACGTCACCCGTATGCAGTGACCCCCCTCCCTCCCCCACAGATAAACTATATATCGGACCGCTGCCAAATGTTGCTTTGTACATTTAAACCTAGTTACCTAGTAATTGATAAATTGTAGATACACCTTTTCTACCGGCGCACACGATACTTTCCAGCTGACCTCTGACGCTCTGTAATCCCTTCACGACGTCGACGTCGACCTGTTTTAGCTCCAAATACTTTAAATGTCTAAACTTGGAGATGTCGATAGTAACTTTGACGTCAGAAGAACAATGCGTCACTTTCAGACCTATAGTCTTCTGTACAAAATCATGTAGGAACTTGACATCACGGAATATATCTACTTTGGAGCTGTTACACACGTGAAATGAAGAGTCCAAATCTTCAGATTCCGATACAATTAGCAGGAACGCCTCATTGAGACTATGCAACAGTTTCGTCGACAGGGAGAGCTTGCTAGAGGCACTCAAGATCTTGTCGCCATTCTGGCGCAGAAGTCTCACTAGCTCCGTTATTTCCGGCGTATTAATTATGTCCTGCGAGTGGTTCATCATTGACATATTTATCTACTTACTATATTATTGAACAAAAGCTTCCTAATCCGTGTTGTCTAACAGACCGACTCGCACTGTTCCAGTAGACAGGTTTCACGCTTCATGTTTAACTAAAAATGGTGATATCGCGTCGTTAGAGCGTTACAAAACATTTATCGGTTTCGAAATTCTAATGTATATAAAGCCTTCAACATTCAACAAAAAAAAAAAAAGCTAGCAAGAACATAAAGGCGTAACATGAAGGTAAAAACAGAGGTACGAACGCTTACGTCAACTAGTTTATTTCAGATTTGGACAAAAAATACAAAAATCATTCGATTCCTCTTTCTGCGAAAAAGACAAAAAGTTTGAAGAGATAAAATTGTTTTGCTTGGCACTGTGAAAGAAAATTAAACGTTAAAAATGTAATGACGTTTCTAACCTTGCGAGAAAAACGTCACTTTTAAAATAACTTTAGATTACTTTTTTCACAATTTCGAGTTTAACCTTCCAAACTTGGTTTTTCATACAGAGAGCTATCAAATAACCTACAAAATTTGAGATGAACGCCTTAAACATTTACTAAAAGGTTTCTAAAAAATTACAATCGTTGACGTAACGCAACCCGTGACAGTACTGACAATCAAGATATTTATTTATATCACGGTTTTGTAATTATTAACCAATTAAAACACCTTTGCAAAATGCCAGGCAACAGGCAATGGCCGCGTTCAGCAAACCAAGAGTAGCAGTCGAACGTGCGTGGGTCTTACTTTCAGAACCAACCAATCAACGAAAAGTGTTGATAAGACAAACTCAACAGTTGTGTCTGTTGAACGCGGCCAATGGGAACAAGGAATAAAGGAGGGCACACACACTTTTCGCAGAACGTAATGCTAAAGGGGAAATACTTGATTGGGATTGATCGATTTTCTTACGCTTACGTTTTGCGTCTTTACGGCATTTTATGTGTGAAGGTCTTTAGATCTAGAAAAATAATCCAATCTTAGCTCAGGACCCCTATTCTGTAACTCTAACGACAGTGTCGGTATCGTTATGTCGTCGTTGCGCAGCTTTTTTTCCATATAGTATACCTGCGCAACGACAACGTAACGATACCGACACTGTCGTTACAAGTTACAGAATAGGGGTCCAGAAAGCTTTCAATAGTTGCAAAGGAGTGGAGTGGGACTCAATTTTGACCTATTACGTGGCTGATTTAAAATAAAAATATCTGATTGGCTGGTCCAATGGAAAAGCTCCCAGGCATCGGGAACTGTGAGCTGTGAGTGCGTGGTCATATATATGAGACACGTGTCTATATGATAAATTCCATGACGTGTGCGTGTCATTATATACATACGCCTCTGTGGAAAACTGTCTTTTTGTCAAATCTTTTGGAGGCTGAGGAGACTCGTGTGATGCAACGAACGAATCATGTTTGTTACGACGATTATATCGCTTCGGCCACATACGTATAATCGTTATCACGATGTAAAACCTGCGCAAACAAACCGTTTCTACACGCACGTCTGATTACGTTTTTTTACAAGACCATGGCCGCGGAACCTTGTGCTCCGGTTTTTAACCAACGAAGAATGAAGAGGACGCCAATATATATATTTGCAGATATTTAAGAATATGATCTTCGTTGCATCTCGGGAAAGGTTTGCGTGGCACGTATGTTAACGACAACGATCTGCAAGACGTACGAGCCATCTTGCTCCAAAGCAACGTAAACTAATGCGTCCCAAGTGTCGTTGGATCGAGCCCAACTTATGCCGGGAGAAATTCTTCCGTATTCGTATATCGGTGTGGTCGATGCTATATAGAGATTCTTCACGATACGAAGGTGGATGACGGTTCGGTCAATGACGCCTGTGATTATTTTAATGATACTCGCATTCGTCGCGGGACAACAAGCGGTAGATGTAAGTGATGCAACTTGATTCGTTGAAGATTTTTTTTAAGAAAAGGTTCTTTCTCGTACGACGGACGGAAATAAAAAACAAAAAGGCCAAATATAATATTTCTTTTACAATTTAACTTTTTATATCCAAAAACATCATGCACGTTGTGTTTTTAAAGCGTGATGAGAGAGAGAGAGAGAGAGAGAGAGAGAGAGAGAGAGAGAGAGAGCTGTTATGTAGGACGCACTCATTCTTGCGATTAAAACTTCGACTTGCCTGCAATAATATTTGTTTCATTATTTAGAATTTTAACACCGAACTGGTAGCGGAACAAGATGACGCTCTCCTCTTGGTCTCTACGCTTGGAGGATTGCTCGTGGGCGTTGATCAATGGTCTGGAAAAATACGATGGCAACAAGACGATGGTAACACGTAGCTGGATTATATCAAGAACGTTGTTATTTCATGTTATATATCTGTGTACATATTATGTCATATTGTATGTATGTTTTTTAGAACCTGTAGTCAAAGTGCCCATCAATCTGTCAGGAACTAAAATGTATGTTATTTATTTGTCATATCGATCCACTATGTCATATACATATGGATATATTTACAATATATGATCATCAGTAGATACGAAATGTGTAAACGTATGATTCGTCACAATGTGTTTTGTGGTATTTTTCAATAATACGAAGGGGTTAAGCAAAACATTCTGCCCGTTTATTAAAATGCTTTCGATTTCCAGGCCTATGTTTCTACCAGATCCCAGAGACGGTTCGCTCTATCTCTTTGGCAGAGAAACGGAGGCCGTGAAAAAGCTACCATTTACCATTCCTCAGTTAGTCGCCAGGAGCCCATGTAGAAGCAGCGACGGTATATTGTACACTGGCAGAAAAATTGACACTTGGTTCAGTATTGACCCGATGACCGGTGAAAGGGAACAGCTTTTAAGTTTTCATAAAGTGAAGGATACGTGCCCTTTAGAAATGCAGAATACTATCTTTGTCGGTCGTACGGAATATAATATTATCATGGTAGACAGCAAGCATAAGGACAGAAAGTGGAATGTAACATTCTATGATTATTCCGCTATGCAAATGAACGCTGACGTGATGGAAGATTACGGTATGTTGATTATTCTCATACCATGCGTGTGGACACATTTTGGAGGCTGCTTACGCATTATTTATGATATATTAAATTTATACAATATATAATGTACATTTATTATATTACATCTCGTATAGCATAAGAGGAATGATTCGATGTGATTCCAGATTTGGTACATTTCACCACAAGTTCAACAGGTCGCGTAGTGACTCTGGACAGATTAGGTAGGATTCTTTGGAAATTGGATTTGAAAAGCCCAGTGATAGCCATGTATACCGTAACCAAAAATGGGCTGCTGATGGTTCCTTTCACAAGTATTGCCGATCCGTTGTTGGAGAAATTTGCGACAAAGCCGACTGACGTTCAATGGTTGTAAGTTAGAGATCAAACGTTTAAGAAGAGAAAGATTTTTCGTCACGAAAGAGAATTTTACACAAAGATGTAGACGTTGGCAACGTTCAAGTAATGTATAATAGTTTTAACGATTAATTATTTTTCTTCAGTCCAACTTTGTACGTTGGACAGCATCAGTATGGTCTCTATGCGTTACCGTCACTCGTTGATTTGGACACGGCAACTATATCGAGCGATATAGGACAATTGTTGCTGGAAGGGCCATTGGTCACGTCGCATCCTCGTACGGACGATAATAATGTACCATTGCCAGGGGATCACGTTTTCATTTCCAATATTGACGTAACCAACGACGGTTATCAAAGCATCAAGCATACTGAAAATGCCATTATGTTAGGTAATGTGCACAAATTATAGTTTTATATATATATATCGTTTGTACGTACGTACGTACGTACATTGTATACATTATACATGCACATTATTGTTGCATATTTTATACCCTTTGTAACTTTTGTACGTACGTTAGGCCATTACAAGGTACCCGCGGAATACAAACCGCAAAATCAGCTCCTTCAAATAACTGGACGATCTGACCCGATAATCTTGGAGACTTCGACGTTGAATGTCACTGGGACCAAGTTATCTGTCGCCGTGCAGACGAATATGTCAAACGATGACACGCGGAGTTGGCAGAGACGTATATTAAACACTTACAGCACGAGCAAAATGTGGCTCACACGACAGGAAAACATAGATATGAAACTGATTGTGATCCCAGTTACCGTGACAATTTGCACGATTGTAATTTGCTATCTGTATAAGCAACGTAAGAACCAACTCCAACACGTGTCGCAGGTGAGACATTTTTTTTAAATATTGACTTGTACCACTATGGCTTTTACCCCTCCAATCATATAGGGTTGGAAAAGAATAATGGATAGGATGCAGTTATTATATTCGAGTTAAATTCACGTGACAAAGTTAACGTGATTGTGTGGTTAAGGGTTCACGCGAGAGCAGTCGTACGACGTATTCTGGTAAATCGGGAACTTCGGTTGTTATGCCAGAAGAGATCGGGGACGGCTTGGTTAAAGTGGGAAAAATTACGTTCGACACAGGAGAGGTTCTTGGCAAAGGATGCGAAGGAACGTTTGTGTACAAGTATGTGATACATTTTTAATAAATAATGCTTACAGAGCTGTTGCTGTTGTATAGGTTCATGCATATGTGTGTGTGTCAGTCGCGAAGACGACACATATACTCATCTAAAGATATCAGATACCTTTAAATTTTAGTTTTATTTATCCGAAAAGAATGTCCGTTTTTATCCGTTGGTGCTTTCTTCTTGTTCAGAGGTGAATTTGACGGTCGTGCTGTAGCTGTGAAGCGGTTGTTGCCGGACTGCTTTACGTTCGCGGATCGGGAGGTAGCCCTCTTGAGAGAATCAGACGCACACGTGAACGTAGTCAGATACTTTTGTACCGAACAGGATCGTATGTTCAGATACATCGCCTTGGAGTTAGCGGAAGCCACTTTGCAGGATTACGTGGCGGGCAAATACGATCGGGGAAAGATATCGGTGAAAAATATGTTGCGTCAGGCCACATCTGGATTAGCGCATCTTCATTTCCTGAATATCGGTGAGGCAAAGTAACTTGGCGTACGTGCCTGCAATCTAACGTTTACTTTTATATAATAATGGATTTCTCAATGCGTCTTCCCGGGAAAGAGTTACGTTATCGAAACTTGATCTTCAAATCTTTGCGTATGTCACAGTTCATAGGGACATAAAGCCTCACAATGTCTTGCTCTCTGTTCCTGGACCTCGCGGGGAGGTACGCGCCATGATATCGGATTTTGGATTGTGTAAAAAACTTCAACTCGGCCGCGTATCATTTTCACGAAGATCCGGTATCACTGGAACTGATGGCTGGATCGCGCCAGAGATGTTGAATGGAGAAAGAACGACGTGCGCCGTCGACATTTTCTCGCTTGGTTGCGTTTTTTATTATGTTCTTTCCGGTGGCAAGCATCCTTTCGGTGATCCGCTACGAAGACAAGCTAATATTCTCTGTAAGTAAGCAGTGTGAGTTGAAGTAAACGTTCCAACCGTTGACGAAAGAGTTTATACAATCGTCACTCGGTCCGTTATATATTTATGTGGCGTAGGTGGCGAGAGCAATCTGACAGCGTTGGAAAAAGTGTCGTCGAGTGACAGAGAATTAGCGTTGTTGCTTATCAAGGCGATGATATGCGGTAATCCTGCCGGGAGGCCGCCAGCTTTGGCAGTTTGTACGTACCCAATCTTTTGGACGTCAGCAGAGATTCTGGGTTTCTTTCAGGTATATAGAATAAAATTTAGTATTTTTTTAAAATCCATCTCTTACTCGCACTTTCCGGGAAGAAAAGAAAAAGGAACGGCAGTTTAATATACATTTTCAAGTTGTAACTTGTGTAACGTTATAAGGTTTTGCGACACGCACTTTGGATTGGATTTTGACATATCAGAGACATATCAGGGGCGAGAAATCATATAAATCTTGACTTTGTTTTGTCACTGTTGTGTACGTTAGGATATCAGTGATCGGGTGGAAAGGGATCAGTCCAACAGTCCGGCTTTAATAGCATTGGAAACTCACGGCAAGCGCGTAACAGGGGACGATTGGAGATTGTATATAGATCTCGAAGTTGCAGCAGATTTGCGCAAGTATAGAAGTTACCGAGGCGAGAGCGTAAGAGACCTACTCAGGGCTTTACGGAACAAGGTACGTGTGTGTGTGAAGCGCAGGTATAGATGGACAAGCAAGGCATAAATGTTGTACGTTTTATCGCACATCACGTATAATTAATATTTTCCGTTTTTTCTCCCTTTTCAACTCTAACGTCGTTGAAACTGATACATTATATATATGTAGGATGACTGAATCAAAATGTTGGTAAAAAAAATTTCATTATTACGAACGCGCCAATGCAAAGCTACCAAAGGCAAATAAAAAATAGTCTAAAAAATTCCCGTTTTTAGCGTTACCCAGAATTACGAAATGAGAATAGTGAGTGCAGAATAGTGATTCCGTTTTCTTTTTTATATAAATGTTTTCCGGGCCTTTGCGAATATTTCTACGATATTTTTGTAATCGAGGTTATCGAGGCTAGATCATTCTCGATTAATAGGATTGTTAAATCGGATACGTGCGTTTGTGATTATCATTGTATACTTTTGAAATAATTTTTGATTAATTTTAATTTTGAAAAAGTTGCTTCACACCAGCTGCTATTATACACAGATATTATATTGGAATAATTAATAATATTCACGAACGCTTCCGGTTAAATTGTCAACAATTTCCAAAAAGCTATTTTAAATAAATTTATTTAAAAAATATCACGTGGGGAATGGCAAAGTGTGTTTCGTCGTATATCTGAAAACATTTTATATAGATTTATCCCGTGGATTTATCTCATCGAACGGTTCACGAGCATTTCATATCGGACGTGTTTTTTTTTGTTATTAAGGTTTGCATCGATTTAAAACAACATTGCTTATCGCGATTTATGATTAACGTTGGTCGTATCGATGTGCTTTTAGAAGCATCACTACAGAGAATTGAGTCCGAAGGCACAGGAGAGTCTTGGCGAGATTCCCAACGAATTCACGGAATATTGGACGTCCAGATTTCCATGCTTATTGTGCCACGTGTGGTGCGCGATGCAAAACTTTCGACACGAATCGAGCCTAAAACAGTACTACCATACAACGTATACTTTTGCGAATGGTTATGAGGGGCAACGAGCACGCACACGGGTGGATCAAGTTAATACGGCGTTATCGACGTCGACCAGGATGGGAAAAACGGATAGCGTCGATTGGAGCCCCAATCGAACAAGATACCGTGGCCAGAGAAGAAAACAAGAAAAGAAAAAACAGGAGGAGCCATCAACGTGGTTATTACATCCGCCAACGTGAACTGTCTCGGACGTACTACAAACTAAGTAAAGAAATGATGAAAAGTGTGGCTGTAGGCGTGTATCAACGTGTAAAAATGATATTTCCGTTTAGTTGGAGTCATGATTCCATAAAACCAACACGATAAATATTACAGTTTCGTTTTTAATTAAAGCGAACTGAAATCATTTAAATTACAAGCCTTTTTATACATTTATGCAACACGTGCGTGGAAAGTGCCCCCGTACGCACGCTACGCGTGCGTGTTAGACCACTTTCCAGGCACTTGTAACATAAAATAGGGAGTGTAAGTCGTGTGTAAAGATGAAAATTCCCGGGTGCGGAGTTTACGCACGAGCCGAAGGCGTAAACTCCGCACCCGGGAATTTTCATCTTACCTCACTTGTTACACAAATAACTATAGCGTACTCGAGCGTACAGTTTATACACGTATATATTTTTGGTAAATTTAAGATTTGCAGTAATGAGCCAGATACGAGTTTCACAGATAACGTAAAATACGTTTAAATTGTATCGCGATTACAGTGCAAGTATACGCAGGGAAGAATTGTAATTTTTATTTTGTGTAAACACTATTGTAAATATATCATTATAGTACATCGATATTGTTGTATCAATAATGTGAAAATGTCCAACGAGTCAAATTTGAACAAAAGTTTAAGAAAAATGGCCTAGAGTTTACACCGGCCGTTTATACCATCATACCAAATACTATATTCGTATCAAATCCGTGTCAAATCTCGGTTTACACCGGTATAACCCGAGATTTAAATATGACGTTGATATGGATACAGGACATTGGCACGCGTACCAAACGGTCTGGGTAAACTTAGGCCATTTATACCCTGGTAACACAATCTGAGAGCTCAGTTATGTCCCGAAGAAGTGCACATTAAAAAAACAGTCCAAACGACAGAAGTGAATAATATCTGATGTTATTACGTTTACGCGAGCGTTACTTCTGTAGTAACTGAGTTTAACATCAGATTAACATCAGTAGTTTAACATCAGATTAATATTTAGCAACCTAAAAAACTCTTAAATTTGAATAACAAAAAATTTCATAGTTTTTTAATTAATCGTCTATGCGTAAGTCGCAACTTTGATAACAAATAACAAATTTCTTTTAAGGGCTGAAAGTCCTAACAATTAATTAACATACTTAATTTTGATCGCAAAATATAACTTGTCTAACACGTCACGCGAAGTTCTCGGCTTAGAGACCAGTGCTCTGATTCTATAACTATTAACAACAATTCGTTATCATTAGATTGCGCAGCTTTTTTATCATATATATATTATATCTGCACAGCGATAATGGCCTAGTTTACACCGATCTCTTGATACGCGTATCAAATAGTATATTTGAACTGATCAGCCAATAATCAGACTTATTTACTAGTTATTTACTATTTAATACGCGTATCAAGTGATCGATGTAAACTAGGTCAATATAACGATGATAACGAAACTGTAGTTATAAGAGTTACAGCGACTTCGTCCGAAAATGACCTGCTTTATCAAGAACGTAGTTACCACATTGGCCGCTACACGGTATGGCGCTGAAACCAGTGAGAAATGCTGGTCTCGTCTCAACCCGGACCTTTGGCTATCTGTCTATTAAGGGGATGCTGGAGACAGGTCTGTTTTACCACGAAATTTTCAGACACACAAATCTTTTGATTGATTTCACCGAATTAAAAATTTTTTGTCCAGAATTAAAGTATGGACGATAACGAAGACGGCAGGCACCAATTGCGTATGAAAAACGAAAAAAAATTAGAAAATTACATTTTGATTTTCGATTCTGCGGTCGACTCATGACAACATTTGCTGCAGATAAAAGTTTTAGACTGTGTACATACGTATACAAAAACTTTGCAGCCGTCACGGAAATACAATAAAGAAGAATCCTGTGCTTGCAGAAATGAGCTGCGAGCTTTAGTATAAGAGAAAAGTATGTTAGAAAATTTCATATGCACATGTTACGCGTCTCCCCGAATTCAGCCAAAAACTCTGCGCTCTGTATGTATGTAAGAATCGGTGAGCACTTCTTTATCGACGCTGGTCGAGTTTGCCTGCGCTCTGTATGTATATGTAAGAATCGGTGAGCACTTCTTTATCGACGCTGATCGAGTTCGCCCGCGACTCCAGCATCCCCTTAAGGTGATCCTAAAGCCGTGATTCTAGCCGGTTTTTTTCAGTTTTTTTCTTAACACTAATCTTTTAATTGGCTTTATAGAAATGCAAAATTCTTGTCTAGAATTAAAGTACGCATCAAAATCTAGCTAGGTCATGGTGGTCGAATTTATATCAAAAACAAAAAAAAATTAATATTTTTTGTTATACGTGACGACCACCACATATAAATTCGACCACCATGACCTAGATTTTGATGCGTACTTTAATTCTAGACAAGAATTTTGCATTTCTATAAAGCCAATTAAAAGATTAGTGCTAAGAAAAAAACTGAAAAAAACCGGCTAGGATCACGGCTTTAGGATCACCTTAAGGACGTTCTTTCGTCCTTATACTAGAGAAAATCGATTTTCTTAGGATTTTCTTGAAACTGTGAATATACGTTAATTTAGGTGTGCTTTATGCGTGGTATAAATTTCTGTACCGCTTCCGGTATAAAGAATAAAGATACAGAGCCTCAAAGTTTAAAAAAAAAATTTAAAATTTAATTTTTTTTTAGTTTTGGGATTTTTTCCTTATAGAACTCGACGAGAGGAGCAACTTTGGTCCTCTTGGCCAACCTCGTATCTCTTACTTTGGCCTGGAAAACCTTTTCATTAGTAAAAGTTGAAACTTTTATTGATTTTTTATACCGGAAGAGATACTAAAATTTATACCACGCATAAAGCACACCTAAATTAACGTATATTCACAGTTTCAAGAAAATCCTAAGAAAATCGATTTTCTCTAGTATAAGGACGAGAGAACGTCCTTAATCTGTGATAATAGAATTAGAAAAAAATTGCCAATATAATAAAAAAATACGCAAATGTAAAACTTGCACATTTTGCTTATGTATGTACGCATTCCACGAAATTTTAAACGGTTATAGCTCAAGAACTAATCAACCAAATATTAAAGAATTATATATGAAATGGGGGTAGAAAAAAAAGACCTAAAAATATAATAAAATTAGAAAAATTGCGCCAAATCAGTTTTTATTGGAGTGAATTTTTATATTAATTTAATAGAAAGTATCTACATGTACTTTAAAATACTGTAGGGGAGACTGGGGGAAGTCGTGACTATTTCTTCGATACCGATTTTTAACAACAAAACAAATAATTTTAGTAAAATGTGGTATACCCCGTTGTAAAGAGTGAACCATTGGCTACAAAATTTATAAGAACATTTTTGGTCTAAGTCGCTTTGTTCA